TCTCATTCATTATGTACTTTACAAGGTGAGGAAAAGGACATTTTAAAAAAAGCATCATTTGATTTCAAGATCTGCGTTCTTGATACAGCTGTATGTGTTCTACCTAAATATCTTAACTAAACCCAGACCGGCCAAAGAGGACTCTCAAACTCCCTGGTGTTCATCTGTTTTTCACAGTGAATTCATATTGTCTGAGAGCTGAGCAGAATTAATTATTTTTTCCAATTCCTTTGGACAGGGGGAAGATTTTAACCTGGCACCTATTTGCACCTGATTTTATCTCAAATGGCCTTTTCCAAATTTCAGCAATTACACATGGCAAAATGCAGTTATTCTTTCTATTCCCTGTAGTTGAATCCAGGGGAAGTCATACTTCGAGTAGACCTAATGAAAGCAATGGGAGGGATGTCATTCATGACTAACTTGTCTCATGGATTTTAGTGTCTATACTCTTCTGGATTAAGGATCTGACTCCTTTTTCGTTTGCTTGTTTGTTTAAGGTGTTAGTTATTACATGTAAAGGAATCAATCAAGTTCGGTTCTCTCTCTGCAATAGCTTTGCTGGCTACTGGTCCATTTACAGGCCGTTCAAAGGTCTGATTATGACTCAAAACACCTCATGCGGCTTGGGACAAGACTTTTGGAGAAGATCTTCTTTTGAAACTGTTTGAAATTTTCTGACACAAAGAGGCCCTTTTCCGTGACTATTCCCAGACCTTGGAAATCCCCCAAAGGAAGACTCAGTTTGTTCCCTCTCTGTTTTTGACCCCTCTGCCAGCAGGCAAATGTTTCAGAAGGCCCTTGACCTGTATCTGTGCTTCCCATGGTGGACACCATTTTTAATAGCATCACACTTTCTGTAATGCCACACATTCCAAAGTGGGCACGAACTTCTCTCTGCCCCGAGAAGTTTCATATCTTTAGAGAGCAATAAACTTTCCTTTCCTTCTCTTTCCTCCCACAGTCTGACAAGCAAACACTGAAGTTAGGAAGATCATTTCCAAATGGCAACCCCAGCCACTTTTTGAAGAGGGGGGGGTCAGCATATACCACCAGTTAGAAAGCTTCAAGAGAGGCATTTCAACCTTCTAGAAATGGGGTAGGAGAGCAAAGCAAAAGTTGGAACAGCACAACATGGTTGACATTTGAGGAAATGGAGGCATGGGCAGGGGAAGGGGGTGGGGCATTTTGGTGGGCCATTTGGGGACCACAGGATTGCTTGTACTGCCCCTGGAGGTGAGGATTCTGGACCCCTGCAAGAACAAGCAAAGTGCCCGCCCAGGCCAAGTCTTGTGAAACTGGATAGTTGACCGTGAGGATGAGCTAAGGATGGTTCACTTGGCCCATCTCCATAGAAACAACAGGTGAGGGAGGCCAAGGTCCCCATGGGAATGCCCTGTTGTTTACTGTCATCCCTGCTGGAAATATGGAGGAGGCGATCAGTGGCTACCAGCCTTGTGGGCTATGGACTAGCTCCTTTACCAGAGGTGGCATTCCTGCATACAGCAGTTGCTGTGGGGCTTGGGCAGGGGGAGGTCTGGCACCCATCCCCTTGAGGAATCCTGTGGGCAACTGGTCTGCTGCTGTATAGACTGGACTGGATGGACCTTGCGTCTGATCCAACATGGCTCTTCTTATGTTCTCAAATACTTCTCCACTGTCTGCACATTCAGAAGCTGCAGGGAAAGGGTCATGCCAAGGAACATGTGCCGTGTATGAAGGAGAACTTTGCCACAAGCAGGGTCCCTCTTTGTGGGAGCACTGTGTGTGTTCATTAGCACACATGCAGAGGCCTTTCGAAAAATGTCCCAGCTTGTAGATGGAGAAGAAGCATTTCCCCAGTGGCCTCCAACCGCAACAGCTCCGCAGCAGCCTTCGCATGTCCCTACAGAGAGGGCTGTACAAACCTCTCTGTGGTTTTTATTTAATGGGTCACCCATCTAGTTTTTATTCGAATAATCCCTCTTTGGAGCAAGGCAGCCAAAGAGAATCCCTGGAGGAGAGGCGTGAAGAAAAGCAGTAAGTGGAGGCTTTGATATTTGTCTGGAGAAACAGAGAACAGTTGAAGTTTGGAGCTGGATATGGAAGGTTTCTTGTTGGCTTTTCAGCATCTTGTGGTGCCTGATCAATGCACTGGACTTCATGGACTACCTGTAAATGTACTTCTCACTGGCCCAATCTGTGCAACTCCAAACATGCTACAGATCTGAAAGTCTTCCGTCTTCAGGAGAAATGAAAACAAATCCCATACCAGAATTCTCCCTGGAATGCCCTGCTTCTTGGGGCAGTGGAGAATCCCAAGCAATTCTTTTGCTTCCATATAACAGGAGATGTCACATCCTATACCGAACGCTGCTGATGCAGAGGCTTCAAATAGGAACAGCAACAGCACAGAATTTCCCCAGCACTCCCCTTGTAACAGTGAATTCTTCTGGGCTGAGCAAACAGAAGAAGGAAGAGGAATGTTTGGTGACTCTTCTGGGAAACAGTGCGAGAACATTAGTGGCTCCAAGCGCTGCTGCCAATCTAAGCAATGTTCTGACCTCATGGAATGCAGGTGGTCCTTCATTCCTCATCTGAATTCGATATATGTGGGAATCCGTAACTCAGAAAAGATTTCGACTCAGACTTCCCACAGACATTAACATCACCACAGGCTGCCACTGGCACTCAGCTTTGCATCTTAATTACAAAGGACATCTCTTTCCAAGCTGTCCTCATGTATCAGGCAATCCATAAATGGCAAGTAGTTGTGCACTTTGCTTTAGCCTTTTTTCAAAATATGACTTATACCGACATTCTCTTTCAGTTGGTGGAGGAGGAAAAAGGACCACCCTGAAGATCTCAGTAGTAGTCATCGAGAGATGCTTTTTTCCTCTCATCCATTTGGATTGATAACATCAGTATGGGCACCTAACAGTTTCTACAGGGACTGGGACTGAATTGCCCCGCTCTGGCCCATTTGTGCTGATGTTGGCACATTCCCGGACCTTCCCTCTTGTCCGTCCCTCCAGCTGCAGGACCAGCTGGCAGCCGTGGCCAGGAAATCCTTATGCAGTGGGGCTTGGTGTCACCCATAAAGAGGAAGAGTGCCCCAGATCCACAGCTCTGCAGGCGTCCTGATCGGTAACTCCTCTTGCCAAATGAAATATCCCTACCCAGAGCTTCTCTATGACTTTGCAGCCAAGGTCTTGGAGGAGAAAGCTTGAGAGTCTTCTAAAGCAATTTTGGATCGTTCATGGCAGCCATCCCAAGTGTGTGAATAACCAAGTCCATGCCTTCTCTTTCCAATGCTAGTTTTCCAGCTGAACACTGGATGTTTCATCTTACACTCTCATTTCATGCAGGGAGACAAAGGGCCCTAAGGGACATGGCTTCCATCCCAGCGGTGCCCTGGAATATCTCTCCAAGATGAAGGCTTTAAGAACAGAAGAAAAGAGCTGTGCTGGCTTGGAAATTCAGCCTTCTGTTTCCACGTGGGCCAGTCCAATGCCTCGGAGAAACCCACAAGTGTGCGGGACATGAGCACCGCAGCAGCATCCTGCTCATGTTTCCCAGCAATGGGTGCACATAGGCACACTGCCTCTCAACCTGGAGGCACCATGGGGCCATCCAGACTCGCTGCTCAGCATCACTCCTGCATGAATTGGTCGAATCCCCTTTTGCAGCCAGTTCAGGCTGACAGCATTCAGCAGATCTTGCTAGGAACAAATTCCACAGGTCCCACAGACTTCCTTTTGCTAGTCCTGAATTTCCCACCATTCGGCTCCACTGGCTGGCCCCCGAATCTGTGTGTGTGTGTGTGTGAGGGGGGGGGGCTTCCTTTTTCCACACCATGCAAAATATTATTCACCTCTGTCATGCCCCCTCTGAATCATCTTTCCTGACAGAGTTTATGGCATGCCTGTTTGCACATACACAAACACACGGCACGTGCGTCTCCCCAAAGGAGAAGGCATGGCGAAACATTCCCTTGAGGGAGGAAGTTTGAGAGCTGCTGACCTCCTAGGTGTGAGTTTGCCCATCTTTGTACTGCAGCCATGCTCTCTGCGCGTGCCTGTTTGCTCTTGTCTCACTTCTCAGGTCATGCCGCAATGCAGACTTCTGATTTTAGCTTGGTGGTTGCATGCTTCTTTTGGTGCGGGCTGATTTGGCTTTGGTTTTCATTTTATTTTGGGTATGTGATGCTGTTCTGTTTTTTGTTATGTTCTGGTTTGGATCACCCGTGCAGATCCATGCTACCTCATGCGTAAGCTGAGATGAACATTATTGCTCAGGCATTTTTTTCTATGCCACTAGATGGAGCTAGGAAAAAGGGAAAGCTGTGACTAGAGGAGCATGCTGAAATAATTGGTTCATTAATGCAGTTCTACAGAGTGATCTTTATTTATTTCAATATGATTTCATGTTCTCAAGTTTCAGCTATTTCAAATAAAGACAATCCTTTCATTCAAGCTTATGGTAGAACACATACCCACACAATGCACAAGAAAAAACAGATGGGGAAGGAGGAGGAAAAAAGCAAGCTCAGTTCTTAAAAGCTTAGTTGTTAGATGGACTGGTTGTGATTGTGCTCTGTCATTGCACAGTGGTGTGCCAAAGATGCCCTGATCGGTGGGCTAATCGAGGCTCAACCTGATGGTAGGGGAAAACTGTTGACATCCTGGTGGAACCTTTGTCATGAGTCCAGATAATATTATCAGAATGAATCTCAGATGGAGAGTGTGGCAACGCGGAGGAAACATGGTTCTAAGGCATTTGGAGATGTTGACACACGGTGAGGCCAAGCGAGTGCCCACAGCAGGGCCATGGATGCAAAGCTACGTGCTTTCCCCAAAGCTGGAGTAACTGGGGGCAGGTACAAAGCAGCAGAGGCTGGTGGTTAGATGCTCTGTAGCAGCATGTGGAGAGGGTGCTCCTGCTGGCTGCCCTGTAGGCCACGGTTGTGGCAGGTTTGGTGCAAAGCACGTCAACAGCCATGGCTGTTGAGAATGAGAAGGATGCCTTTGCAAGGACTGCTGGCTGCAACTCATCGGAACTGGGATCAGAATGTGGAGCAGACCTGGGAGGAGCTTGGGAATATGGTCCATGCCAAGAGGGAGGTGCCGATTGCAAGGCCAGGCTCCCCAGATGGGCCGGTTGTCCTGGGAATAACGAAGCTAGCGGGCCGGAGGGGACTCTGAGCAGGCAGGTTTCTCCAGCACAGACCAGGCAGGTGGTCCTGGCTGCTGACCCCATCACGCACCAGCACCTGAGGAGGGTGACCCAATTAGAGGATAGATGCATGGTGGGGGGGGCATTTCGGAAGGCCCCCTCGAAGGGACAGGGCCCAGGCATGCTCATAAGGAGAGCTCCTGGAGGTGAATACTACTCTGGGTTCAACAACTTCTCTGCATGCTCAGAGGTTCATTCTGGGTGATTTGTGCTTCTGGGTCAATAAAGAGCGCAGTGCAAGGATAATGGTCTGTGGCTTTTGAATGCATGAAGAAGCAACCCTGGCTAGTGACAATTTTATTGATATGTGTATTTATTTTGCATTCATATGCTGCTCCCTACTCCTAATGGACTCTTTGGGCAGCTTTTGCTGCAATGGCAGTGAATGATACTATTTTCTGCGAGACTGTCAGTGGGCTGCAGTTTCTCCAGAGAGTCAGTGGTAACTTGCATGTAACTGAGCATATTAGTAGCATATAGACCAAGAATGAAGGAAAAGGGGTAGACTTGCTTTGTGTTGGACAAGGGGACTTGCTTCCAAATACCCAATAAAACCAAAGCCATCACCCTGGGCAAGACACCGTCTTGCATTCTAGTCCATCACAGGGTTGTTGTTCCGAGTTGAAGCCTTTTTTATCCTCAGATGACCTGAGCTTCTTTGAGGAAGGGTAGACTACTTTGCTTTGTTCAAATAAAAGGAGGGAGGAACGACTAACCAAAAGTACCAAAAGGAAATGGAAAGAATTGCACAGCGGTCTTCTTCATGACCTGTGCTTCATTTGCGTTTTTCAAAGGATGAAATGAAAAGCTTTGAGAGAACCCTGAAACTACAGTCAATTAGTTTTAAATGGCACCAACAAAGTGAACAGACAGGTTCTATTGCCCTGGCGCTGGGAACTTTCACCTCCCAAGCGATCAGACTGAGACCTCCTTTGTATTCCGTTTGAAAGTAAAGATGATGAACTCTGCTCCCAACTTAGATGGCAATGCTGGCATTATAACTGGGATTTTTAAGGGTGGGGAAAAAACAAAGGAGAAGCACAGCAAGGCTCCTGGAGACCAAACAAAGCCCGAGCTAGCGTGCAAGATACACCGGGGCACCAACGGATTTGCAAGGCTTTTCTCAATCCTGCAATTATGACCCTCCTGATCCTATGGTTGCATTCCAGCCCTAGTCCCTGGAACGCAGCCAGCAGGGATCCACTGTGGTCCCCAGCAGGTGCAAGAAGCTGCTTCCTCCAGGCATCCACCGCACTCAGCTCAGGAGTCAACTCACACGGTGAGAAGCAGCCGGAGCAGGTCAGGCCTTGGAGTGCTCCCCTGAGGACAGACCAGCAATCCAAGAAACAATTAGGGCTATTTATCTAATAACCAGCCGTTGTGATGCTCCACCCCTGCCCCCGAGCATCCAAGAGAGTTAGAGGGATACGCAGAACAAGTGGATGACGTGAAACCCAGTGAAAGGACTGGCATGGGGCGGGGGGGGGGTCTGTCTCGCATGATCCTTGGGACACATCCAGCAGCATCCAGGCCTTGTAGACTCTTAGGCGTTAGGCCCTGGTGTGTGGCCGCTAATCCATCGCCACTAGCCAGCGTGTGATTGAAGCCCCAACCGTGAGGGTGTTCAAGGATAGGCTGGACATGCACATGGTGGGCATGTCGTGAGTGGAGCAGGATGGAGCTGTGGGTCAGACTAGATGTCCTGGGAGACCCCTTCTGACTCACTCTGTTTCTATGTTTGTTGGGCTCCCAGCACCCAGGCATCTCTTTGATGGGTATTAAGCCATTTTTAATGCCGGGTGGGGACACACACACCTCTCTGCACAAGGTCATTTGTTTTGATGGGAATCCTTCTGGAATGATTCGTGAGGCTGGGGATCTGGGAGGTCTGAGTTCTAGTCCCCACTCAGGAGTGAAGCTCACCCGGTGAGTTTAGACCAGCCACAGATGTTCAGCCTAACCCACCTTACAGGGTTGTTGTGTGGGTAAAGAAGGGTGGAGGGGGCATATGTAAGGTCCTTTGCAAGAAGAACAATGGAGGGATATAAATGTCCTGTATATATGAATTATATAATATAATAATGTTTGCAAACCTCCCAGAAAGCCCTACCAGCTATGGCAGGTGGTATATAAATATAATAAATAAATATGGGTAAGGATGGATGCTAATTGAGACAGATCTAGTTCCTCTATACACTACACTTGGAATATTGTGACCAGTTCTGGACAACAAGATTTAAGAAAGATGCTGGTAAATTAGAAAGGGTCCAGAGGAGGGCAACAAAAATGATGCAGAGTTTGGAAGCACTGCTCTGTGAGGAGAGAGTGAGAGAACTGGGCATGTTCAGCCTTGAGAAGAGAAGGCTGAGGGGGGACATGATATTCTTCTATAAGTACCTCAAAGGCTGTCACAAAGAGGAAGAATAGAATAGAATAGGAGTTGGAAGGGCCATGAAGGCCATCGAGTCCAACCTGCTGCTGCTGTTGCAGGACACCACATTACACCATCCCACTCAGATGGCTGTCCAGTTTCACCTTGAATGTCTCCAGTGTGGGAGAGCCCATGACCTCTCTAGGCAGCTGCTTCCACTGTGGTATTGTTCTGACTGTGAGGAAGCTTTTCCTGATGTCCAGCCTGAATCTGGGTTGTCGCAGCTTGAATGGATTATTCAAGGAAGGCCAAGATCTCCCCTTGCTGATGCCAGAGCGCAGGACAGGGAATAATCCATTCAGGTTGCGACAGCCCAGATCCAGGCCGGACATCGGGAGCAGCGTCCTCAGGCTTCTATGGTCTCTGGGACGGGCCACGGGCTTCCTGCCGGCTCCACATGTTCCTGATCTGCTTCTCCTGCCCTTGCTCTCAAAGGCTTTCCCCCAGAACGCCTCCACCGCCTCTCCCCCGCTGGCCACCTCCTCCTCGGCTGAGCCGTACACCCGGAGGCAGTTCTGCAGGTGGCCGTGCGAGTGCCCCGCCATGGCGCCCCGCTGCCCGCTGGGGGTCAGCCTGCTCACCGACGGCTGCGAGTGCTGCAGGATGTGTGCCAGGCAGCGTGGGGAGGAATGCACCGAGGCGGACGTGTGCGACGTGCATCGGGGCCTGTACTGCGACTACAGCAGAGACGCGCCTAGGTACGAAATAGGAGTCTGTGCACGTAAGTCACGTCCATCCCTTTTTGCCCTGCACGGCGTTGAGTGCCATCAGCAGCGGGGTGGAGGGCCGTAAGGGCAAAGGGCGTGTGTCCATCCGTCTGCCTGTGCCGTGTCGCGCAGACCGTGAAGCTTGGCATGAATGCCAGGGCAACCCAGGGGGTGCCCACCGTGCTGTTCTTTTGCTGTTCACACCCATCACTCAACAGCACGATCCTAAAAAGCCGGGCAGCGGCTGGATGGCCACTGGGTTTTTCAGGGGCCCGGCTACACGCTTAGGAAGTTGCTGCAACGTCATAGCTGGGTCTTCGCACCTGGAGTAGCTTCCCTGCTTTGCTGCTAGTGTGGAGCAAACTGCACTGAACAGTCTCGGTGGCTTTGGGGGCCGTGCTGGGGAAGGAGAAGAGGCTGGTGCGTCCTCATAGCATCTTGGCCTCCTTGCCTCTGGTTCTGAAGTGCTCCACTAGGTGGCCAACATTGGACACCTCACCGAATGGCAGGGCTACCTTCACCGCTGCACCCCTCCAAGTTCAGAGGCTTGCAGGCATCTGCACTAGACAGAACCCAAATTGTAAGGCAGATAATTTTCTAAAGAAATTAGGAGAGTAAGTACTCGGAGGAGGGCTTTCTCTGCGGTGGCACCCAACCTATGGAATTCACTCCCCAAAGAGGTCCACCTGGCACCGTTGTTACTGGTTTTTCGGCGCCAGGGAAAGACCTTTTTATTTAAACATCATTTTAATTGTTAAAATATATGATCTGGCTAGGGCAACTTCTTCTTCCTTCTCTTTTCTCCTCCTATATTATTTATTTACTTATTTTATACTGTTATTTTTAATTTTATATTATTATGTTTGAAACTCAGTGTATTTTTTGTATTTTTGTATTTAAATGGTAATTTATTATGTTCTATTATATTTCAATGTATTTTATTGTGTTGTAAGCTGCCCCGAGGCTTCGGCAAGGCGCGGCATAGAAATGTTATAATAATAATAATAATAATAATAATAATAATAATAATAATAATATGGCCTTGGGGTTGAAGCCCTGCAGTAGCAACTCCTGCCTCTAGGTGTCACTCGGTGGTCCTCACAGCCGGAAGGCAGGGATGATTCGTAGACTGAAAGCCAGAGTCAAAAGCTTGCCGTCTCCACTCCGGGGGAATGGCGTAGAAATGGACCACTATCTCAGCAGGGCAAAAGGCGCAGGGTCCATGACCCAGGAAGCCAAGAGGCACAACTTTCCTCCAACAAGGCAGGCACAACGTGTCCAGCTTTACCACCTGCGTAAGTTTGGTTGAAGGCTTCTGTGTATCAAGCCAGGTGTTATTCCGCCCCAGAAAAAAACCAGGTCTGTTTTTAAGTTAATGATCTAAACAGGATAGACTTCTGGCCATCCTTTGCTTAATGGGGAAGAATCCAGCCCTTCTTTCTCTCCTCCCACCCCTACCCCAAGATAACCGAGTGGCCAGATTAAAACTTTTTATTTTATTTTATTTTAATTCATATCTTTAGCTATATGTGCAGGATGGGAGAGGGGGCCCACTGCAAACAGTTGCCACTGAAACTATGCCAAGACCCAAGTTAGATCCAGCCACAGAATAGTATGTGCCTTGTAAGCCGATTTAGAGTAATAAGCACAAATGACTGATTATATGAAACTATCTTGGGTGCTCCTGATGAACGGTGCAGTTCTCTCCCACTGACTGCACACCAGAACTGCAAGGAAATACGGCACCAGTTCCCTCCCGCCCTCCCTCTTTCTTTCTGAACTACAGATAATTAGGGGCATCCAAGGTGGTTCAACTCTTTATTCATTGTTCTAGAAAAAGCAAATTCCCAGCCAGCTGGTCGCATCTCAGATTTCGCTGCTCTGTTGCTGTTGAGGGTTGAAAAATGGTGCACTAAAACATGGCTTGCTTTGGTTTGCTTTGAAGCTGTGTAAAACATGGTCAAGGGCAGGAGAAGAAATGTCTATATCGATTTTTTGTTGTTACACGTTGTCAGCTTGCCTCCAACTTATGGCCACCCTGTGAATGAGAGCCCAACAAAATGATTTGTCATTGAAAGCCCTGCTCAGCTCTTGTAGCTCCCTCCATGGAATCAAACCTTTTCATAGTTGGTCTTCCTCTTCTTATCTATAGCCATATCGCGATAGATCAATTGGGTTGCAACCAGATCTCAGTGTGGGGATTTTTAATTCTGTCGTATTTAAAAGAAAACCTGACCAGCTTCGCCCACCCACCCTGATTTGATAGCGGCAAGCAGAGAAAAGGCCACTCCATTTTTGTCTGTGTTTGAGACGTGATATTTAGCTAAAACATCCGAGGGTGTGCGTGTTCCAGTGGGGAAAACAAACAGACTGTCAGGATCCATGCTGTAAACATTTGCATAAACTTTTGTGAACTTGAAGGAAAAGCAGGCTTTTTCAAGGCCATGAATAATGCTTTGCATTAGATAAACCCGTTCAGTCTCCTTGAGAATTGCTGTAAATGTATTTCTGGCCACTTGCCTTGGTTTGATTTCCTGGCCAATGGAGTTGTAGGGCATCTGGCCACACTATGGGATAACATCAGTGCCCCGGCCAATGCGGTTGGTGGCAGTGGAGCCTTCCTCACGATGCAAAGAGCAGCTTCATGGAGGCGATTTTAAGTGGAACCACAGGGGAGGGGAAAGGGTTAACTTAATCATTAAACTCTTCCTCTCCTCTCTGCTGAACTGGACTTTCAATAAATGAATTTCTGAACGTTCATTGATAAGCTCCTCAATAAGACCAAAAACCTGAGCCTATGCTGAGCCCAAATTAAAGCTCCCGTGCAATTGTTGTCACTGTGGTTTATAAGCAGAACATTCTACTAGCTCAGTTGCTTTTGTCAATATAAGACACTTACTGCCCCTTTCTAAACAAGGGTTTAGTTAAATATGTGGTGGAGGTTTTCTTCAGCCGTTTAGGAATTGCTCTTAGAACAGGGATTCAAGAACTCACATTCCTGCTGGATTTTCCCCTGGGATTCAGCTTCCTTTGCTTTGCCCTTGTTTTGACTTCAGTGGATGATTTGTGAGTTTAAGTTGGTTCACATGAGTATCGGAGGTGATTATATGATTAAAAAGTAAAAAGCATCCTTTCCTCGGTCCGTCTAAGAGTCTATACCAGCTTTCCTCAAGCTGAACCTCTGCAGAGGCTTTGGATTGCAACTGTAATCATCCTTGGGCATAGGCCATGCTGTCTGGGACTGATGGAGAGTGTAGTCCAAAACCACTAGGTTGTGGAAGGCTGGGCTATGCCAGAGGTCTTGAGCATCCTTTCAGGCTGCCCTCCATTGCTTTTGTCAGCCCCACCAAAGATCAACCAAAACCAGAGATGAAGAAAGGGAGTTTTGCCACCAAAATTTGGTAGCAAAGCACTAGAAAGGTTTACTTGGTGCAAATATAATTTGAAAACAAGCCACATTTGTCCTTCATGAGCCTTGCTAGTTGTTTTCTACTGAATTTCAGTCTCAAACCACTAAGTTGTCACCACTACAGCAAGGTTGTGGCTTGTAGGAGGGTCCAGAGAGGGTGGAATTTGTCTAGTCTTCAGTGACTGGCATTGCACTCTGCATATTTATTTATTTATATCTAAAATATCTGCATAGAATAAATTGGATGGAGATCTATCTAAAGGTCTAGCAGAACTGATACCATATGCACAAGCCCTATCAGAATTGAGCAAAATGTCTCTGCAACTCATATCCGCTTTCATGCTTCTTTTCCTGTCTCTTTGGTAGAAATTGTTGGTGTGGGTTGTGTCCTCAATGGAATCAGGTACAAGAATGGAGAGGTGTTCCAGCCGAATTGCAAATACAACTGCACATGCATCAATGGAGCGGTGGGCTGCATCCCCAGGTGCATCGACTCCAAGCCACCGCTGGTCTGGTGCCCCAACCCCAGGCCAGTTAAGATAACAGGCGAATGCTGTGAGCAGTGGGTTTGCGACTATTCAAAGAATATCAGGAAGACATCTCCAAGGCATATCTCCTCAGCAGGTACAGGGCTGGGTGGAGATGGACACCAGTCCAAAGCTAAGAGGCAGAACCACAGGCCCAGGGGCCAAATGCAGCCCTCCGAGAGGCCAAACACAGTCCCCCTTAGTTCCTCCAGAGGGCCATGCCCTCTCCTTTAGCCTCACCCTTTTCCCCCAACCCTAAGTCTCTTGCTAGATTCTCGACTTCAGGCAGTGTTTTCCATATTCTAAAGAACTGAAATGCCTCTCTGGCAGTGGGAGATTTAAGCAAAAATATATTTACGCTCTGCCCTTTCAGCCCTTCAGTCCTGAGCACCACTGGAATGAGACTCCTGAACGCTTACCCAAAATTCAACTTGGCCCTTGTGTGAAAAGCGGTTGTGCTTCCGTGGTCCAGGAGGTATGAGCAGGAAGCTGACCAGAGAAATTAGGACCAAACTCCTTGCAACTGAGAATGGGAGGAAAAAAAATGTCTGTTTTTATGCAATCTTGCCAAAATCAGACCATCCGGCTCTGTGCATGAATATTCCCCCAGAACCAAATCCATGATTTTTAATCTTTAACACACTGGGACTTCCTTGGTTGAACTGGATGAGCATGGGTATTGTATTTATCATCATTATCTGGAAAACACTTCCAAGAAAAATCTGCTCATTCCTCCCATATCTTTCTTGTAACTTGTTTTTTTGTTTCATTTTGCTTTTTGCTACTGCTAAAGCATTGTTAATCAGTTGTCTCCATTTTTTCTTAACAAAACAAACTTCAAAGCAGCAGGGAGGGAAAAAAGAACACTTTTGGTCATAATTTACACATAATGATACTTTTTTTAAAGTGAAAGAACAGGAATAAACTGAATTGCAATATTAGGTAAAGGAGTGTCAAACCTTTTCTCTTCATACAGTTTCTTCTCCAGCTGTTATTTCCTCTGGGGGAAAAATCAGGTAGAGCTCAGGTTCCTATTTTCCCCAGTGCAGCAAATAACGCCACTGGGAGATGGAGGTGGTATTGATTTAAAAAACATTACGGGAGAGGGAAAAAAGCTGTTTTCCTCTATTACACAGAGCTATGGAATTCCAGGGGTGGAGCAGAAAAATTAGGGGGGGAAGGATTTGGAAGGGTCAGGGGGAAAGGGAAGGAAATAAGTTTTCCCCTTCAATGTTTCTGTTTATAGTTGCTCCAGGCCTTCACATCTCTCCTCCTGCATGCTGAGCAGTTTAGGCCCCTAGAACAGCATTCTAGAAAATGCTCATCCCAAGATGTGGCCGTCATTCCCTTCCACAGCCAGCCAAGAGGACCGTTGACCTGCTCCGGTTTGTGCTGTCCCAGAGGAGGGGATTCACGGGCTGGAATCTCACGCCCTTCTCACTTGTCCTTCCCATTCCAGTTTCTGGGTACATGCCAGCTTCAACTCCAAGCCCGCCACTTTCTCAAGGAGAACCCAAGCATGGTTCCTGCTAGCAAATATCTCCGTCTGTTCCTGGAGCTGTCATGGAAACTTGTCTAATTCTCTGTGTTTATCCGATTACCAGTTTATGAAGGCGAAATTGAGTCCTGGCAGAAAAACTGCATCCTTCACACCTCCTCCTGGAGCCCCTGTTCCAGGACGTGTGGGATGGGCATCTCCCTCAGGATCTCCAATGATAACGATCAGTGCCGCCTGACGAAGGAGAGCCGGCTCTGCAACCTGAGGCCGTGTGAGGAGGACATCACCAAGCACATTAAGGTGTGGAATGTACACTTTTTTATATATATTTATTGCATCTGCCTTTTTCCTGCAAGGACCCAAGAGAGATCACACCATCCTGCTCCTTTTCTCCATTTTTATGCTCAGAAAAACCCTGTGAGGTGGCTTAAGCTGAGCGTTCATGACTGGCCCAAAGTCTGGTCCAAAGTCACCCAGTAAGCTGCACGGCAAAGTGAAGACTAGAGCCTGGATCTCCTGAGTCCTTGTTCAGTGCTCTAACCACTACACCATGCTGGTTTTCAAGGCAGCGATCTTTTGCCAAGTCACTGGACTGGTTCCCCACACAAAGATAGGCTGTTTCTTTCCTTGGGAATCCCGACTTTCTTTTCATGAAATGCCATTTCTAAACGATGGATTTCCAATTTTCTGCATTCTGTTCCTGGTTGCAGCTGAAACTTTTAAGGAGCACCATGGTGCTGAACCTTTTCCAAGGAAGGGTTTGGCATCATGGAGAACATCATGGAGTTCAGATTGAAACTGGCCGGACTCCCTTGGGAAAAACACCCCCACTTTCTTGTATGCCTCTGCCCCCAAGAGGAAGGGAAGGCGTGTGTTTCGGTACTGGGGTGCGATGCAGAGGGTTGAGGTGGGAGGAGGTGGGACTCAGAGGAAATTGGGGGGTTGCAAGAGGCATCTCTCATTGCTCCTCTAACCTCCTGGGGTTTACGTAATTCTGAACAAGGCCTGGGAGAGCGCTTATAGGAACAGATGAAGCAGCTGTGGCTAGCCAAGGTAGCTGAACCTGACCTCCACATTCAGTGGAAGCCTACCTCTAAATGGGGACAAGATGTAGCCACTTTGGAACTGAGTTACTAGATTAGGTGGCCCTTGGTGCGTGAAGCACCGGTGCGGCTTATAACTGAGCCCTGCGGGCTGCAACTGGCACAACTCTGGGCCGCATTCGGGATACTTGCAGCCCTCCAATGGGGACATCTTTGGCTGGATGCCCTTCGCTGTGTAAGGTGGCCAGCAGTGAGAAGCTGTGCTGGTTTCCTCCCTGAATCAGCTGTTCTTCACCTTTCCATTGGCTGCATCAAGAGCTAGTGATTCCAAACAGGAAAGGGAAGCATTACCTAATCGTGCATCATGCATTAAATGTTCACCCTCCTTTTCTGTCTGTGGCTAAGCGTTGCTGGGACAGGTGTGCTCATTTCGCCACACTGCTGCATGGAAGAATGATTTTCCATCCATGAGGCTCTTGGATCACAGGCCTGTTTTTTTTGCTCCGTGTAGCCTGGAAAGAAGTGCTTGGCTGTGTTCAGGAGAGACGAGCCGATGAACTACACGCTCTCCGGATGTGTGAGCAGGACCATCTACCGGCCCAAGTTCTGCGGCGTCTGCTTGGATAATCGCTGCTGCGCACCATACAAGTCCAAGACTATCGATGTGAGCTTTGAGTGTCCAGATGGGACTGGTTTTTCCAGGAAAGTCATGTGGATCAATGCCTGTTTCTGCAACCTGAGCTGCAAGAACCCCAATGACCTATTTGCCAATTTGGCTCATTATCACGATTACTCTGAAATTGCTAATTGAGTTGACTGAATGCTGCAAAGCACTGGGGGTGGGGGGAGGAAGCGAGAGGGGGAGCTGCCTTCCAAATTCTACATGTTATTACTCTGATTTTACAGAGGATCAAAAATAAAAGAAAATCTTTTCATTCATCAGTGCATGTGAGAGAGAAAGCATCTGGGGCTGGCTGGTTTAACTTAAAAAAAAAATCCATCTGGCGTAAGCTGCCTTTGCCGGATCCATCTGACTATTTTTAGATGTTGTTTTAATGAGTGGGATTTTCTGCTGGTGGAAGAGCTCTAGCAGTGCCCCACTTCTTAAACAACTCCTGCTGCACGGTGTCATTTAAAGGGAATTATTGCAATGGCACACCTTCACGTAATGGATTGCGCACATGTACACGTTCCGTCAACAAAAACACCTCTCCATTTAACACGTTAAAGGATTTTAAAAATATTTCATAATGATATATATATGTACCCTTTTCCAATGGCCTAGATGTTTGAGTAGGGGGAAGGGATGCAGAAAATATCATGCCTTGTTTCCATGCATACAGATCCCCTCTCTCCACTACCTCTCTGCTCTTATAAATCTCTCCTCCTCCTCCTCCTCCCCCCATTCCCATAGACTCTGGGTGATTTACAAGAGATCAAAACCAGCAATAATTGAATGTTAAAAAGAAGGTATATTAAATAACACGGGAACTGATCTGGAAAGGTCTGTTGGAAGAGATACAGGCATGTTCAGAGAGGTATGGCTGTAGAGATACTGGAAATGATACATTTTTAACTCCCTCTTGAGAGTAGCGGTCAGGAAGTCTGCATCTCTGCCATTCCACAGTTTAGGAGCAGCCACTGAGAAAGTCTGTAGTTGATGTTAATCTTAGAGAGGCAAACTTCAAAAGGTTGTCCCCAAAGGACTCCTGAAGGAATTCTGGATCTGAACCATGAAGGGCTTTAAAAGGTAATTATCAACACCTTGTACCACATCTGGAAACATACTGGCAGCCAGGGTAGATACTTCAATACTGGTGATGTGTGCTCCTTCCATGAAGCCCCAGAGACCAGCCTGGCTGCCATATTTTGTACTAGCTGCAGTTTCCAGAGGAGTCACAAGGGCAGCCCTGGGCAGACTGCAGATTGCAGAAACTGAGCCTAGAAGTTACCTACACATGTACTACTGTTTTCAGCTCATTCTCCCCAGGAAGGTATGCACCTGGAGAACTGAGAATTGAAGCTGATAGCAGACTCTCTTGACCACGGCTTCTAACTGTGCTGAAAGGCCAAATCCAGCAGCACCCCCAAACTGCAAACACTGTGTTTTGGGGGGATGTGACCCCATCCAGAGCTGGTTGACACACCCTGAATCCTGGATTTGAACCCTTAACAGCATGCACCTCTGTTTCTTCTGGGTTCAACTTCAAATTGCTTTCTCTCATCCAGCCAAATGGTCACAGGCATCCACAAGAATGGATGTCATGCCAAATGGCCATAGGAATTATACCAACAGACCCTAAGGAAACAGGAAGCGCCCCCAAAATGCTCCCGACTAATAGCACCCCAACAACCAAAGAGTCACATGCTCCAGCTCACTTCTAAGACCAGGCTGAGCATAAGAGGAAGTCTAGGAACACAAGAGGGACAGATTCCATGGAGGTCTGTCACAGCCTAGGCTGGATCCAGTGGGCTTTTTGGCCCCTTTCAGCTCTGTGATTCTATGTTTAGAGGAGGTACTGATGCATCTTCTTTGACCACATCCCATCCTGGACATGGACTCACCACCACCATTGGGAACCATTATTGTGTAGGGTTCCCACTCACTGGAAAGACTGTGCCAGTTCTCCTGCAGACCTTCCCATGGGAGAAGTGAGAGTGAGCAGCTGATGAATTAGTCTGGAGAGCAAACGAGAGTTTTGCCGCGTGTCAAACTCCCATCCCTTCATTGTGAGTTGTACACCATAATCCACAGCCCTGTCTTTAGGTTTTGGGCTGTTCATTTGCAAATACAGCAGGCTTTTTGAATCTTCCTTGGAAATGGTGACTCTTCCCTTCACCTTATAGAAGACAGCACTCAGCCCTTCCAAGGTAAGCCATTTGGGGACCACCAGACAGTATTTTGCAAAAAAAAAAAAACCCCTCACTTTTGACAGAAGAACTTCTGTGTCAATTCACATCGCCCCGAAAGGGCACTGGGCAGAGAAGTCAACCTCCAGAGCTGTGATGTGAGCCAGCTTCCCAGGTTTGCTGCCCACAGTGGTGAAGGTGGGGCTGGACGTTGGAGAGAAAGTCCAGGCAGCCACACCCTTGGGGCTCTCCAGGTGGCCACCCTGAGAGCAGCAGCAGGTGAGGGGGCCGCTGCCGGCAGGTGGGGCAGGAGCTCCTGGGTTTGCATGGTATGCAAGGGCTCTCCAGAGCTGACTTTCTCACACTGCAGCAGCTCTTTTTCACCTTATGCTAACATGTAGCAGGCAGGCAGGCAGGCAGGCAGAGTCAGGGGCCAGCTGGGCAGGCATGTTCATGGGTATGGATGCTGGTCATATTATTCAAGCTTTTAAAAATAAGCACTCCTCCTTTTCTAGAACAAAATCATGCTTATTCCCACATCAATTCATTTGACTGACTTATATTAAAGGGCAGAATTCAATAATTAAGAATGAATTAAATTAAGGGCAGAAGCAGGGTTGTATTCCTAATGGGACTTTGAAGTGAGTTTAAGCTATACTCCTGCACAGGCTCAAAGGATTTCTTTCTTTCTTATCAGAGTTAGCAGAGTTTTTCTTTTCTCACTCTAAGGAGCACGGAGGAATATTGCGAAGCATGGGAAGAACATTGGAAGAGCAGAAATACCAGTGGTGTACTTCCCAACTGAAGCTATGCACATGCGGGTCTAAAATTATCCTAGCTGACTCCACCACTGGCTACTGGTACCCAAGCTCCTTTCGACTGAGGATCGAACGCGGAGTCTTTTGCGCATGCAATGCATGTGCTCCACTTTTGAACTAGGGCACCTCTCCATTGTCAGCTCTCAGCATTTAGGTGCAGAGAAATCGAAAGATACGCTGAGGCAATACTGTAGGAGCAGCACACGTTTCTGAAACTGCGCAGAGTTCTGGGTTGCAGCAGCTGGCCCTTTCCGTGTGGCTCTTCGGTTGGTTCTGGACTCCGACGCGGGGGGAGCCTGGGCGCAGAAGAGACACTGTGATTATCTCATGTGACACGGACACCACAACAAACACCGGCTAGGCAGGGCATGTCCCCTATTCACCGAGCCTTGAAAGTCCCTATTGTGTAGCAGCACATGACGCATTGTGCAATGCACACCAAACACCCGGAAAACAAAGCATGTTTTGACTCTGAACAATGATCCCAAGGTGAGGTGGTGGAAAAGGGACTGAAGGGAGAACGTCTCAGGAGCCTGACATGGGGTGAGTTCAGGAGGAAACGCATCCTTCAGACTGTAGCTGGAGATGGCCAACAACGTATAAAGTGGTTGTTGGGAAGGATTGCTTCTTCCCCTGCTGCACACACTGCTCCTCTGTTGCCTTGTTGCTTCCAAGACCTGTGAGGTCAGAGGCAGCAAGTCAGATCTGCAACAAGCCGTAGATCCCAGCCTTTTCAGCCCTCCTTTCCCCGCCCTCGAATAATCAGCACTCAGTGTCCATTCAGTCCTCTTTGCGCTGTTTGTTTGTGAGGGGAATCTCTCCCCCATTAGATATTTTTTACTTCTGCAAGGCTCATGGCTTCTCAAGATTTTTGATTCCTTCCACTTGTCTGTGGATGCTGCAGTCACACTGGAAAAAGAATGGTGCCCTAATGGTGCCCTAAAGAGAACAATTCCCCCTGTGCATGATAGAAACAGAGTGAGTCAGAAGGGGTCTCTTGGGCCATCTAGTCTGACCACCGGCTCCAGCCGGCTCCTCTCATGACATGCCCACCATGGGCACATCTAGCCTTTTTTGTGATCCTTGCAAAAGGCGCATGCTAGGAACCAAAATGGAGCAAACATACTTCTCAAATGCTGTTAGGTGCCTTCTGCCACCATCAACTCTGGGCCAAATGACAGATTCATGCCAAAAAGATGACTGCATTGAACATGTAGAGATTTCTGCCAGCATAGCCCTAAGAATTGGGACCTGTGGCAACTTGGCACCCATGGGCTCTCCGGTGATGGGCCCAGATCAAGGGGAGCAGTACCAGAACGGGAACTGTTGTGGGAGTGGTGGGGTGATGATGATGAAGATAGGAAGTCAGGACAAAAAGTACAGAATGGAAAAGGATGGAACACTCTGTTTTGAGCACAGGAAATAAGCAGTTTTCAGGTGACAAATCGGTGGCAAATGCCAGGTGGACAGAAAATTCAGTGGGCAGGTGATGTGGCATCCAGCAGAGACCTGTGACTGAATGTAAAATGGAGGTTTCTTCCTCTTAGGCCTGAATAAAGGGAGTGAGTGGGCCAATGAAGGAGAAGCAGGTGAGGCAGATAGAAGCAGTGCATGCTGGAACTGATTTTCAGTCATGGGGACTGATGGGATACTGGCCACCATTGGGAGAAAAGATGAAGCACGGAAACCATGTGCCTGCTGAACCCTGGACATGAGGTAAGGGCAACATGCCACATGGACGCTGATTGGATGCTTCCACCTCCAAGCAGGAAGACTGCCTCCACACAGACAAGACTGTGGTTGAGTTGGGTCACACATGCTTCTTCCCACGGCACCTGGATGTTCTTTGCCATGTAGTCCTGCCACGTCCTTTTCACAAGAGCCCGGCTGCCTCAAGAAAGACTTGATTGCTTCCTGCTCATCTTAAAGCTAAGCTGCTTAGGCTTCCAGCTGGGCCAGTGTCCCTCCTGGAGGCAACAATTATCTTTCTGGTGCAAGCTTCAGAAATAGCATTCCATGTTGTCAAGCAAAGGTCACGTTGCAATGCAATTGTTTCAAGCCAAGAGATATTTATGCTGGCTTCTGCCATTGCAGCTGCCCCTGCAGAGTCTGGTCTTTAGTACCAAGATTTGGGCTTCTTCAAAGATGCTCTTTTAATAACAAAATTAACACAAGGCAGGAAAAGCAAACACAAATTCAAAAAGAATGATTCTCCATCTATCCAATAATAAGCTAAACTTCCAACTTCTTGAAAAATTTCATCCTTAGAACAGTATGGGCTGAATTTATTTCGTTAAAGACATTATCTGTACTTTCAGCTAACCTACTTTTGTGTTTTCAGGCTTCCCTGTAGCCCAGGGTACTTTTGTAAGAAAAGGAACTTCACTCTGCATTTAGCTTCATCCAGGTAAATAGGTTTAATTAAAGCATGCATGCCAGGAACTACAGGAGAGAGTTGAAGCATCCCCTAAAAACAGCAAGTGTCTGCACACGACAAAGAAAAGCCCCTTGCTTATATAGTGCTCCTTGCTATAAGGCGAGAAATAGAAAGCTATCGGGTTACTATGGAACACAAACAGCCACTACCAAAGCTGCCCCCATTAACAACCCTCATCTGCTTGCTTTGAGGTGGATTTACAGCAGGCTCAGACTTCGTCTTATGTCAAAACAAAAGGAGAGCTATAACAGACACAGATGGCATCCTAGGTTATCACAGATAGGTGTGATTTATTACATCCAGAGCTTTCTCAAACATGTATATTGTCATCTCAGAGAATACACAGGGTGTGCTTTTCTACCAGGACCGGTTGACCAGAAAATATTCAGAGCTTGAACACGTACTTCATCCACACCTACAGTCCAGGATAGGAGGGATCCCAGCTCCATTGTGGCACAGCATATAGAGGCAGCTCGATTTAATGCTGGCATCTCCAGGTAGAATTGGGAAAGATGCCTGCCTGAAATCCTAGGGATCTAATGCCAGTTGGTATAGACCAACTTGGTGCCCTCCAGATGTTTTGGACTTCAGTTCTCTTCGGCCTCAGATTAGGAATCCAGGGAGAGGTCATTCAAAACATCTGGAGGGCACCAGACTGGGAAAGGTTTGTACAATCTTGAGCTTCCACTCTGACTGTTCCAACCCTGAACCCTCAAGGATGTGCTCCAGCAGATCAGAAAACAAGCATGCTACCTTCCACCTGGATAACCCCACCTGTACTGTTACTCCCTGTGAGGTAAGGAAACCTCTGGGGAGAATGAAGAGGAGCTGTTGCGAAATGACAAAGCACATGCTTTGCCCACAAAGGGGCAATCCTCCAAGGGAGGCCCAGAAAGCAGCAACAAGGGGGCCTTTTCAGTGGTGCCCCTCCCATTGTGGAATGGTCTCCTTGCTGAGGCCTGCCTGGTTTTGACATTGCTGTCTTTCAGTGTCAGGTCAAAGCTGTCTCCTTTCCCAGGCATTTAATGGCATACGGTGGGTTATGTCTGCTGTTTAATTGGGTATTATTCTTAAGAAAATGCATACACTATTGTATGTATTTGCATATTTGAATTTCTAGCTGTTTTAAATTTGCATTTGTGTTTCATTGTATTCTTATTACATTTGTTTGTATTTGATTAACTGCTGTGAACTGCCTCGGGAGCTCTGGCTATTGGGTGGCATTTTATTTAAATACAAACATATGTGCAAAACGTTCCAGATTCAATTTCTGATGTACCTAAGTAGGGTTAGGAAAGATTTGCCAGTGCCTGCTAGCCTTCCCCAAGCTGAGTCCCTTGGTGTTCTGGACCACAGCTCTCCAGGTTCCCCTGAACTCATTCCATTTGCATTTCAAGACAGCATGACAAAAAGGATGCTAGACAACCCATCCTCCTTTGTACCCAATCAGATGGGAGCATGCTTTCCGGGATATGGATTTTTTTTCCAGGATTCCCTATGGCCCTCAGCTCCCATGAATTAATGTGGCCTGAAACTCTTCTCTTAGAATGAAGATACTAAGCAGCCTTCCCCTATGTGATGCCCTCCAGATGTTTTGGATTACCACTCCCACCAGCCCTATTAAAAATGCTGTCCAAGATTGATGGGGAAATAGTAGTAGAGTGGAAGGCTATTAGCCTCTGATAGGACCACGTTTGTACGAATTCTGGGTCAGTTGAAGTGGAACTGTTAAACACATTCTTAATAAAAATCAACCTTATCCCACCACTGTGCCCTGGACACAGAACAGATACCAGCCACTGCAAAGTTACAAATTTATTTTCTTTTTGAAATAAATACAAATAATTCATTAATAAACTTTCTCCAAGTAGACAGGTATAGCCTCTCAGTTACAGTCTGCTGCTCTTCCTTACACATCACACTGGAAACCCTGAAGCTGTCCTCTTGAAATAGGTCATTAACCTACACTAGAAATTGGTTCTTTCAAAATACCTGATTTACTCAGGTGTAGAGATGCTTGATTCTTTAAATGCTTGATATCCAAAATTCATTAGCTATATTAAGAAGGATGTAGCAAATAGATAGAAAGCCAGTGGAAAGACAAATCGGTAAAATCTAAAATTCCCATCTATGCTGGGAATCCATTGGGTTGCCTGTAGCTTCCCAGAATATAGCCCTGCAGACATCAAGTGAATAGCTTTTGAGTTGCAAAATCAATTCATCTCTCTACATTTACACTCATCAAAATAAATCTCCAAGACACTGTTGCATCTCTGTCTTATAAACTTCGCGGACATTGTCCAGCATCAATCCCAATCCTCAATTTCTAGGGCCTGAGGAACATGGGCAGCTGACTCTATAGGCTACCTTACTGCCATTAGTCAAGTGTTCCTCTTCTAAAGCAATTTCCTGATGGATCTGACTGGAGAACCCAGTAGCTTTTATGACTGCCCCAAAGCCTCGAGTAAGCAGACAGGAAGCAAACTCACCAGCAGGGAAGGCCTGGGGAGCCCAACTGCCATGCAAAATTACCCTTTGTACAACTAGGACCAACCAACTTTGCCATCTCCAGTTATCCTTTGAGGAGCAAAAGCAAAGGCTGAATGCATGCATGCTTTTGCACCTCACCCTTACTTAGTTAAGCAATTTACATTCCGGAAGAGGAATAGCTGCCACCAAGTGTTAGGTGGCATGGGAAAAAAAAAAAAAAAGACTTATGCTTTATTTGCCTGAAGGCTGCACCAAGTTTCCTGTCTTAGTGGAGTATTCACATAGGAAAATAGGCCTTGAGCAGTATTCACAAGGTCAGATACATACATATATACAGGTTTGAGTCACTCCAGCTTCAATCGGGAACTGCCGCTTTTGAAAAAATAATTTTAAAAAAGCCTGCCACCTTGCGTGGATTTCCCCACTGCAATCCCTTAACGTCAGAGTGGGGAAGCTCGTTCTTTCATTTTTTTAAAGTGTCAGATAGGAGCAGAAGGTAGACTATCTGCCTCAAAGACTTATTTCCAAGCAAGGCTCGAGGCCATTTAGATTTCGGGCTTGGTGCTTACAAATGCTGTTAGTTTTACCACTGGACATACCTTAAAGCAATCTAAAATTAGCTGGAGAAAAGAATAGCAGCAACATCTGTTAGGGGAACAGAGCAACTGAGATGACTGCTTTATTGGTCCTTGCTCAGCTCTGGGTAGGGGGCAGAGCCGTGTGCTGCAAAACACACTTTAGGTTAAATATAATGATACACAGTGGTTGGCTGCAGGTCAAGCCCCTTTCATCTAACAGGAAACCTCCATCGACTTGGGGCTTGGCTGCTCGGTGTTGTTTGCAGAGTTGGGAGTGAGCTCAATGCGGGTGTCTGTGTGAGCACGATTCCGGGCACCGTCACCAGTGTGGGACCGACTCCTGGCCCCCTCGCCAGTGTGGGACCGACTCCTGGCCCCCTCGCCAGTGTGGGACCTGCTCCTGCCGCCTTCAAGGGATGCGACGCTGGAACCAGATGCCGTGCGGGATCTCATGAGTCTGGTCATGCTCGCAGAAGGCACTGCAAAGAAAAACCATGCGCTAATGTAGCATTAACCAGCCTGGGGGGCCTTCTTCAAAAAGGACATTATGTAGATCAGTGACCACGGTGGACAAAATGGAAGACAAAAAGCTACAGACGGGGATGTGTTCAGTCAGGGAGATCATCCCACAGGCCAAGAAGAGAAAGAAAACATCCCTGCACTATCAAGGCAGAGTCTCTGCCCCTAAAGGTCGACAGGTGTTCCTGCCTTTAGGCAACCACATGAAAACACAGATGGGGCATTTGAGAGCAGTCACGGCCATGCCACTGTCATGGCTGGAGGTGAGACCCCACTGCTCCTTTGAATACTTTTTGCCTCTTCATGCAAGTAACTCACGAAGGGGCTTGCAATTTTGCTCATAGTCCAAGAACTGTCAAGCAAGCCTCACCACCAGAGTTTCTATATATTTGGAATACATAGAAATGTTATAATAATAATAATAATAATAATAATAATAATAATAATAATAATAATTTGGGACCCTCCCTCTTTTCACCATGATCTACTGGGAATGGAAAGTTGGGTACCTGCCAGGAAGTTCCATTTTGATCTGTTATGCAGGAGACATCCAACATGGGTTAACGCCTCCGACTGCCTCAGACAGGCAAGGAAAAGGAGAGGGAGAAACCCCCTTTCGAGATTTGGTAAACTCCAGGAGAGAAACTGTAGAGATATTAGAATGAACAGGGATGGACAGTCCCCAAGAAAGGGAACAGGGTGATGTCTGCTGTAGACCACGTCCGGATGGAGCTTCACTGATAAGTACCCAACTTTCCATTCCCATTCAGTGTGAACAGACTTCCATTATGGGATGGACAAAGATATTTCCTTAGTAGCTGCCTTTATTGAACATCCATTGTAATACTCTATTTCCAAAGGCTGATTCAGCAGAAGCATATTTGTCCATCTTATTATGTCTTACAAGCATGTGGTGGGAGGACCACGTTGCTGCCCTACAGATTTTTGCTAAGGGGAAATTAGAAAAAGACGTTGATTCACCTGCAGCCCTGGTGGAATGCATTCAGCGGGTGGCTACACTACTTGGGCCACAAAATTAATGTTGTAAGCCGCCCCGAGGCTTTGGTGAATGGGGCGGCATAAAAATGTTTTAATAAATAAATAAATAAATAAAAATTACAAGTGTTGCGCTACCTGGCAAGGGAAACTTTCTGCCCTGATGTGGTTGGATGAAAGGAAATGAAGAATTGGAACATCCACATTCCTCAGTCATCTTTGTTAATCGGGATGCCCCTTCTGCTCCAGACTGGCTCAGAGGGCAGAGGAACATGAGGCCCCATGGAAGGAAGAACCACTGGTATTCTAAGGAGTGTTACTTTTGCAAATGGAGGATAGATCCAGCTGGTACCTCTCCAAGAGAACTAAGACTTTTCTGGCAGAGTTTGAAGCCAGCAGAAAAAGAACCGCACGTGAGAAGAAAGCATCAAGAAATGCTTGATGAAAGCAGGAAGAATGGTGTGCAGGTTCCATGCAGAGACACAAGGTATACGTAATTGGATGGGAGAGACATAACTGTTCAAGTGGGGTGGGTGAGCACTAAGGGACTTGTGGCAAGCTTGGAAAAGGCAGAAGAAAGCTGTGACTCACTGCAAAGCATGTCCGTCTAACCCCACTTGTAGAAATAGGTGAAATTTGTCAGAGGAAATTTCTCCCAGGAAACTGCTTGCTATTGGAGGTAGCAGTGGCAGTCAGCTTTGCAGGCACTGGATGGGAATCCAGAAGGAAAGGAGTCCTCTCCTCACACTGGCTCACTGCTACTATTCTGGAGCCCAGTGGCAAGTCACTCATTTTTACATCCCCAAAAGAACTCTAGAACAAACCAACATCCAGCATCTTTTGCAGCTTGAGTCCAGTAATGGATGTTTAACAATCCAAGCGTGCTCCGTGCTTCTGCTTTCACAATTTACAACTTATGGTAATCCCGGCTGTACATCAGAACCCAGACACTCTGGATTGTTTAGGGCATAACAAAACTGGAGCTAACCCATGTTGTGCTGCTAGGCTAACACTGGGTCAACATCCTACACAATTCATGGATTCCACAAGCCTATGAACAGGGCAATCATATGCTGCATGTTGATAAGCAACAAGCATGCCAGAGCTTGTGGTGTTTGATCCTAGCAGATTTCAGCAGCCGGTGGGTTAAAGGTTTAACTGACCCACAAACTGCTATTTTTGCGTGAACCAGGTCATTCAAGGTGGCAATTTAACTCCAATCAAAAAAATTATTCCAGACATGTACTTACTGTATCCCATTCCCTGGATAAAATACTTGAAAGCTTCAGCAAGCTTTGCGGGCTGTAATGAAAGCATAACATTAAGGTATTGGCACATGGGGAACTGTCAGTGGGAAACTGCTAGTGTGGACTTCTTTTGGGCAACACTATTAACCTCCTCAGTAGCCCCAGGTTATCACGAATGGCCCAGGACTGGAAAAAATAACCGGCAATGACATTTACCAACTGAACCAGAAACAGTGCCACATGCTTTGCTTGCGCCATGTGCTCCCCAGTGGGGGAAGGCCTGGAGAGAGCAAAACCAGCTTTCTGAGTACAAGGGAGGCTGGTTCCCCAGCTGATGCACTGGGGAACAATGGAGTGGTCCTGCACCTTGTGCTCCAGTGGGGAGGTGTTCTAGCAGTTCCTACAAGCACCACTCTGCTGTAGGGCTTTTGAGCATGGGACTGGGACTCAGGTGACCTGGAGCCTAGCCCCCACTCAGCCATGGAGACAGCTAGGTAACTGGGCCAGTCACAGGCTCTCAGCCCAGCCTACCTCACAGGGTTGTTGATGTGGGGATAAGATTAAGGCGAATGATCCTACACCCTCTGCTCAGCCTTGTCTTTTAGCCACATGCTAGTGGACAGGGGACAACTCCCAAGACTCAGATTTGACTCTCCAATCCTTCACCTTCAATTGCTAGTACAAACTGAATGTACCACAGCAACCCCCACCCCCACCCCCTACAGAGCCCTTCAGAGAGCAAAATTTTACCTGAGACACCTGAGGAAGACCACCACAGTCAGCCATCTGTAAAACAGAACATGCATTTAACTGAGGGGCTCCTTTTGTGTTTAAGAGCTATTTAATAAATACTTGCCATTTTGTTGCACACAAGTTTAGCATTCTGAACCCCCACTCTACCCCAAAGTAGCAAGATTTGTGAAAGTGGGCTTCAGGTAAGACATTATCTGTGGATTGTTCTCCCCTGGAATAGCCCTCCTGTCAGGCCACATGTACCACAGCATGAGTACCACAGCATGACAACTTGTAGCCCTCCAGATGAAGTTAGGCTTTAACTGTCAGCATAGCCAATGGTGGGGGAACTGGATCACCTTCTGGTGGTCCACAGATTGCCCACCCCAACATAGAATAAAAAGAGCGGAAGGAATGCAAATGCGGTGCACTGCAGCCAGAAGAATACCAAGCCTTTTGCAAAAACACAACAAATTTGACCGAGCCAAACTTTATATTCCGTGATCTTAGCAATCAGAGAAGTATTTCATTCCGGTATAGATGTCCCACTGTCTTCTTCTGGATTAACTACAAGCATGGTACAATTCGAGGACAGCAGAGGGATTTAGGGTTAATCCATAGCTCAGAGAAGAGGCCTGGGGAATGTTAGCTCCTGAATGATGGTGAGCCAGTAAACTACTCATCATGGATTAGGTGCGCGCTCTTTCTCCTAACAAGGGCACTAGAACTTAGCTGGGCAACGGCTGCAGAAAGATAGGAGGTCAGGTGCCCCTGCCCTGTTTGTGGCAGCCGCTGGCTCAGGAAGAATTGTCATTCACCTTGACCAGGGGGAAACTCTGCACACCACCGCCTAAGCCTGCTTAATGGACTATTTCTGCTTTAGCTGGTTCTGACTGATTGTTTTAATTATTTTCGGATTAGATTTCACCTAGATGGGACAAAGTGGTTCAATTAGAGTTCAGCCATGCTGTAGGAAACACAACTGCGCTGGATTGTGACGGACAGTCACCATTTTAAATACAAACTGCTCCTCCGTTTGCTGTGCAGCAGCTGGCCACTGCGGGCACGCGCCACATTCTAGGTGCCTCCACCAAAGGAGGGCCAGAGAGGGCCGCCCCAGCAACAGCCCTGTCAATCTCCGGATGAGGCCCACCCGGCACTGTTCAGGGCCAGGATAAAGCCCCTTCCTTCCGTCCTTCCTTTCAGCATTTGGTGGGACAGGATGAAGTTTTGACCAGGTCTTGACTTTTTTTGGTTGTGGATGGTTGAAGCTTGTTTTCAAGAAAGGTGTCCCTCCCCCAGATGTTGTATGAGATTTACCTATGCACAGATAGCAACTTTATGTAAGGATTCATGCTTTAATTTTCTGTGGACTGCCAGAGAGCTTCAACTATTGCTTGATACAGAAATTTAATACGTGCAATAAAATGCAGGTCAGCTTTCTGCCAGCACACTCCACTCCGACCATCAGCAAACATTCCTTTTTGCTGCACAGGGAGGCAGAGCGCTACTGGCACGGCAGGTATGAGCACTACGTGCAGGTGACACCTCTCCTTCTTCCCAAGCATTTGCTGTGTGTGCAGATGGAGGGACTACCTGCTCCAGCTGCTGCTTTCTCTGTGCGCCTCCCACAGAAACAGGATGCATTCCACCCATCATAAAATCATAGAGCTGGAAGGGGCCTAGAAGGTCATCAAGTCCTGCACTGAGCAGGTGGTCGGACCCATGTCTCCCATCCAGATTCTAACCAGGGCTGACCCTGCTTAGCTTCCATTTTTTGGCTGTGTCAGGCACTTCGGGCTACATGGAAGCATAAATATGTTAGCATGAAGATGAGGGGGCCCTTTGGTGCAACTGCAGCTCTGGCTTTTAACCAACTAGCTCATTAGATGCCCTTGACCCCCATCCCCCAAACAGGCCCAACATGTTGCAAGCACTGGCTATCTAGTCCCTTGCTTGCACGCATACATACAGAAGTATTTTAGAAAAATCAGTTACAGTTTAGAAAAATCAGGTGTAATATTCTAGTTCTGCATCACACATTCAGCCACATTAAGTGGGTTTAATCAAAAAAAGGGTGGGAAAAAACAAACGTAAAACAGGCACAGATCACCATATTTCATGATTTGATGACCATCTAACCTCCACTTCCCAAACTTTTCAATATGCTTTTTCTGGCTATGTAGCCAGCCCAAAACCTAGTTTGTCTTCAACTTGAGACAGAAGTAAAGCAGCTTACAGAAGTAGGTATTTCCTGCTTATGGAATATTTAAGTTTTGAGGCTTAAGAAATTCCTCAAACTGAAGAATTATGTTACTTAACGCAACCATGGAAACAGGACCATTGCCCTCCCATTCAGGTTATGATCCTTTCTTAGCTTGTTTAGGTACACACAGCATTGCTACAGTTTTTAAACTGAAAGAGAACATTTATTTGCTTTATATTAAAGTAAATACAATAGAGATGTGGGCTGAGAAAGACTACCATTTGCCCATTCCCTCCCATGGATGTGTTTCTTTCTCTTAAGGAGCTACTAGCTCTGGTAAAAGCTGTTTGCTTGTGCATAAAAACAAAGACCCCACCTATCTGCAACTAAACGAATGAGCTTATGCATTCTAACTGGTAATTCAAGAGCAGCCTTGGATGCTGCAGGAGCAGCCATGCAGACCACTTGGCACTGCATGGTCTGCTTTGATTTATTAAATTTTATGAACAGCTTTTATATCCCATCCTTCACGGAACGTCTCAGGATGGTTTCATAAGGCAGGCGTTCGAGACTAAGTGGATCAAGTCTCGAAATTGCTTGGTAACAGACAGGACATTTACACAAGCAAACTTTCAAATGACAGGAGAATCTCCATCAAAAAGAGTTACAGGGATTCCCACACTGTTACAGATGTGCCTTCTCATCAGCTGGGGGCAATGATGGGAGGAGACAAAGTGCTGCTCTTTGTTATCTGACCTTCTGAAAACTAACCCCTGGCAGGATTAAAATCCATTATGGAATGAGTTTCTAAATGCAGTACTGGCAGCATTATCTTTTGACCTCTAAAATGACTTGGAGTCCTAATGCATGTAGAAGAATATAGGTCAACAGCTCAGGATATAGTAGAGAAAAATGCAGTTCCACAACCTCTGCCCTTCACTCCCCTGCATCTTCCTCCATGCCCCACAACAATTTTACAGCAGTGGTCCAGTATATGTCATGCCCAAGGAAGTCTTTTGCTACTAGGTTCAAACACTTATAACCATTCCAACAAACAGCCAAGTACTTTACGACAGCTGAAGAATTCTGCTTTTGGACTCTGTGCTTATGTTTATTACCTTTAGAAGTGTTGTCTTTGTAGGGTCGAGTTTAGCATTGCAATCCACCTATTCGGTAAGGGAAAGAGGGGGGAGAAAAAGGTGAGACCTCTTTGGATTCAATAGCAAAACATCTGTTTCAATAAGGTCCTCAAAGCCATCGCTTCTCATATTCAAGTAAAGCATAACTGGCACAGATTTCAGGGGGCATCCACAAGTGGGTTAAGCCTGTCAACTATGAAATCCAGGGCAAGAAGACATGCTGAACAGTGCTTGGTTGTTTTGTTATTTTAAAAGCCCAGACACAGGAGGTTTTAAGGACTGGGGTGTGTGGAGGGGTCTAACCTCTCTCTTTTCCTGCTACAGTTCCACTGAAAATCAACCGTCTCTGCTGTTAACTGACTTGGTATTGGTCTCCAACTGGAGCTTCCCTCTCAAAAGAACAACTGTGTGGGTGAATTTTGCTGGCACTATGGCATGAGAGGAAAGATGCTCACACCTTTTTCTATGGCCCTGATCACATGCTCCAAACCTCCTTTTTCTGGTTCTGGAAGGATATTCCAAATTTCCAATCCCAAACTGCCAGTGACACAATTGGAATCATGTGTGTTTCCCTCCTCAAGTGCCAATAGAAAGAAGCTTTAATTCTACCCAGCCTTTTCGGATGGCGATTATAACACACTTTGTCCTCTGGTCCTTTGTCCAATGTGAAGGTTTCTTTCCAAGGTATATGCCCAGAAGCCAGTGTTGCAGCAGCTAGAGGGTCCAGACTAGAAGACCCCGGTTCTAGTCCCCACTTAGTTAAGAACCTCACTGAGTGGACTTGAGCAAGTCACTGCCTTTTGGTCTAATGTCCCATGTAAGTTTGCAAGGTTTGAAAAGAGGAAGGGAGAGAATGCTGGAAATGTGTGCAGCAAAATGACCAAAGAATTGTCTATCACACACTTCTAAACACCGGCAGATGACAATGCAGCAATACTGAGGGACAGCCACATGCAGCAGGTGGGCCACATGTGGCTTACTAAGGTCAGGCGCATGGCTGCATTCATGCTACTGCGCTGTGACAGCATGCCTTGGGTCTATGCAGAAGCCCTGTGAGAGTCTAGCCCTGTAGCCACTTCCAGGAGTTCTTGTGAAGGGACAGTACTGCTCCCAACCCTCCGAAGTGGCTCATCTCTGCTCTTGCCATCTGAAGTCATCAACTTTTTACTGCATTCTAGTTTTCTGAAATCAACCCAGAAGACGTTGCCAGCACCCAGTTCTTGCCTGCAGTGTTGCAATTATGGGCTTTCTTACAACACTTTGATTATTAGGCAAGATAGGAGAGAAAATAATTCAGAACTATCAAGGTGGATGTATTACAGAGCAAATGGCTTTCCATGGTTGGAGTCGTGTGGATGACAAGCACGAAACTACAAGTTAATCTGTACATACCACAGCATCGACTGCAGGAGAGCTGTCTCCGACCACCAGCAGTGAAGGGCATCTGAAAGCAAACAAGTAAGCTAGCAGTCATTTCTATAATTAGCTCTTAATGGCTTCATGCCTTTAAGGAAGTGGTTAAAACCAGAGAAGGCTTTAGATTGTCAGTAGAACAGCATGATACTGAACTTGCAGTGTTGCTGAGCAGTAGGACTTGCTGCTTGCTGAGCTTGAGCCATTTCAGCTGCTTAGCTAAGCTACAGCTGTCTTACAGGCACATCTGGGTGCCTTCTCATCTGTAACAAACACTGGATGCAACCCAATGATATAAGTAGAACCACTGAAATAAGTGAGACTTGGATGACGCATTGAATGCAATGAAGTGCTCAGATCAGAGATGGACCTGACCTATTTGGGAGCAACTTCCAAAAGCCCCAGCCAGCATGGCAAATAGTCAGAAACAAATACAGAGAATCGCTTTTTGCCCCCCAGCCCCCATAGTCTAGGTTATGCTATCTTCCTGAAAACCAGCAAGACAGAACTTGCCTTGAAGTAGGCAATGCAGTCAGGTTGTATCTAAGATCATTTGGTTATGATGCCATTTTAGAAGGCATCTTTACTTAAGGGCCATACCACTTCTACGAATAATCTCCACAAAAGATGCACTTTAGCGGGTTGACTGTCCTTGAGGCGCATTACAAAAAGCTATTTAAGAATGTAAGATCCAAGCTGGACCCCACCAAGAGCCTACCTGGTCCAGTGCTCCATTGGCACAATGGCCAATCAGATGCCCATGGGAAACCCACAGGAGATGAATGCAGTAGCACCCTCTCATTTATGTAGCCTGGAAACTGCCATACAGAGACATGCTACTTGATACTGGGGGTAAGGTATGGCCATCATGATGAGAGCCAGGATTAGCCATCTCCTCCACAAGTCTAATTCCCTTGTAATGCTGTCCAGACTTGTGGTCTTCCCTAGAACTTGAGGTAGGGTTCCATAGTTTAGCTGTGCACTCTGTGATGAAGTATTTCCTTTTATCTATCCTAAATTTCCCATCACTCTGCTTCAGGGATGCTGAAGTCATTGTATGGCTCCAAACAGAGCTTCTCTGCCTCACTGGATCGAGACTGCTATGGCCATTTTTAATTTACACTACCAGAAAAGTTCAAAAATTCAGCCCCAGAAGAAACAAGCAGGAAGGGAGGGCCTGTGTGGTATTAGAGTAGGGCAAAGAAGGTGGACAAACAGTCCTCATATTTATATGAAATCAGAGGTAGGTTTGTGCTTGCTGTCACACGGAATCTTATGTTCAGGCAGAAGGGTGGTGGGAGACACTGGCCCTTCTGACAAGCAGGCTAATGGGTCTTTCAGCTTATCCAAGAGCATCATGGGAGCTGTCATGAAAGAATTCTCTTTTACTGGTTAAAGGAGGTTTTTCAAAAACCAAGCGACTTGTCCATTTACAGCTAAGGGACTAAGTTTTGAGATAGTGCTTTTGCACAACTTGATAATCAAGTGTCAAAGCATGACAAGTCACTGCACACATTGCTCTGGGCCTCAGTAACCAGGGCAGTGCAAGCATAAGCCAGTTACCTCTCATTTTTCTAAGTAGTTAAGCCCTGTAAGCTTCAGTCTGTTGAGCCATCAAAAGGTCAAGAGACTTAAGGTTTGCCTACATCACCTTTTTCCTAAATGAGATTAAACACCAACTTTTAACAGTGCTAACATACCACTTCCTCATGTTTACTGTTCAAGCTAATGCTTTAAAAGCTGTGGAGGAAGTAGGTGAGATGGTGGAGGAGGTACCCAAGGGAGGTAGGGCAGACAGTCAAAAGCTCTGGTTGTGGCTGCTTACCACACTGAACACTGAGCCTCTTGGCCTCTGTCATGGATATCAAATGGTTAAAATTGACTATTCATGTGGTTTAGAAGGCCCAGCTCTGGCATACTAAGTTTACACAAATGCAATGTTTAGAAGCAAGTGAGGGGTTTGTATGTGCACATGTTCCTCAGTAGATTTACCTTTGGGGTTTGCAAACAGCACTATTCCAAGGATTCATCTCTGAGAAACTTATGAGAACCAAAGGTTCCAGTGCAGGATCCCTCTAGGATCCTAAGTACTTCAAGACTTCCTTATTCCATAGCTCATCTTGGTCCTACTTTCAGCAATCTTCCCTGCTACTCAAAAATGATATCTGAAGTGATAAACTCAGAGGTGCCTACCTCAAGCAGTTCTTATAGCATGCACTACTTACACCAGACTCGTATTTAGACTGAGATGGTGTTAAGCCACAACTATTATTACTCGCATAACACACCTCTAAGGAGACCTAATAAACTTGCATAGAACTGCTTCCTCAGAGTTTTATCATTCCTAAAAACTGAAGCCCAGAAGATTCATTTCCCCCTTCCAAACCGATGGATTATGACATACTTACTGTAGAGTAACAGAAGCTGTTCCAGGCATAGGACGCTCAATGTCAAGATCTCTCCGGCTGAAAAACAAGCAAGAGGAAATTAAATACAGGCACTTCTGTGCAACATTTAAAAAGAATGAAAGAGATCACTGTTATCTGGAGTTGGCAAGATGTGACTATGTTAAGGGTAACATGGAATCCCTAAGGCAGATCCGTTTGCTTCCATCTTTAAGGTTTGAGATGTCTAGGTTTCTAAGACAAGGTCAGTATTTGAAAAACACATGAAAACCAAGGCACACAAAGACTCCATGTGAATCCTTTCAAATCCTGATGTTTCTTAGTCCTTTCCCACTGCAACCTCCACATTTCTTTCAAGGGGTTGAAACAAGATTTTAAATTTTGATAGATGCTAACTGCGACTTAACTGCAAAATCCAGAAAATATTTCAGCAGAGGCAGTATCAAGGGTTGGCATGGTTTGGCACCTGCCAAGGGCCCCACCAGGGGTCTACTGATGGAAGCACCCTGGAGCTGTTCCTCCTTTTCCCCAGTGTAGCCTGCATGTTCACCCACCTTTTGCTGTACTCCAGGAAATGGTGGTGGTGTGAAGGAGGCGCAGTGCTTGTGACTGCTTATTTGCTTACTACCACTGCTTGCGTGTGAAGCAGAAAACCAGTAATAACCCAGATATGTACTCAGAAAGATGCACATACATGGGAACTGAGGTTTTGAACTTTGCTTGAGCCAAGAGATCATCTGTTGTCAAGATCTAGCAACTGGTGGCTCTCTGGAAGTTGGACTGCAACTGCACCAATCTCAGCCAGCATGGTGAGGGAAGATGCGAGTTGCAGTGCAGCAACATCTGGAGGCCATGAAGTTGTCCATCCCTAGTGTAGAAGATGCCCAAGATTTCCTGGTTCCCCCAAAATGGTCAGAGCACCAAAGGCCCAGCAGTAGGTTACCTGTTGTAGGAGTTGACAAAGAGATGCAGATTGTTTTGATTCATATCATGGATGATGTGCTGGCGGTAAGTATGGATCAAATCATGGTTGTTGTGAATTTCTTCCTAAATTTAAGGAAAGCTCTAATTAAAATAACTTTAACAAGACCACAAGGGGTACAGTATCTTGCAACACATGGAAACAGTGGTCAGAGATGCATTTTCTTCCTCTCAATATGAGAAACTGGGGTCTTCTGATGAAACTCATTGTTGGGAGATTCTGGACAAAGAAAGGATGGACTTCTTCATACAATGCATAGCTCAAGTATGGAATCTTTACCATAAGAACTGGATGGCTTTGAAAGGGGACTGGCAAATTCATGGAGAAGGTGGCTATCGGTCACCTCTAGTAACCAAGAGGGTATGCCTATGTAGACCAGCTGCTGGGAACATGGGTGGGAGAGTGCTGTTGCTCTCCTATCTTCCTTGTGGATTTTCCCTGGGAAGCTGCTTGGCCAACAGAATGCTGGACTAGATGGACCTTGGGTTGATCCAGCATGGCCCTTAGGTTTGAAACAGCAGCATGGGCTTTTCTTCATGGATGGCATACTGCTCTTTAGTCTGAAGGTCTGTTTCTATATCGATTGACTATACTCTCCAATACACTCCTAACAAGCAGCTATGTTTCAAAAGCTGAAATTTTCCTCTATCCTTGTAACATACAGCTACTATAAGTGAAACATGCAATGCAGAACCTGCTACAGAAACACAAAGTGAATGTTTCAAGTGTTGCAGGAGTGGTTTGATTATTTTTCAACCAATATTTGTTGCAGCATGAGCTTTACAATGAGTGGGAGCACCTGAATTGTAATACCAGTGTGTCCACCCTTCAGGGAAGAGTGTCTGTCCAGCCTGGGCAAGCTACAAGCAGTTCTCATGTCTTAGAATCCATGCATGCCAAACTATAGTTTTGTACTGACTTTCCACCTTCACCCCATTTAACTAAGGTGTCACTCACAGGGAAGGGTGAACCTAACAGTTTTAATTTCAGTGTTATAGAACATACTTACCTTGCTAAAAAGGTGTGAGATGACCATATCTGGTAAGGCATGAGCCCATCCAGAGATCTAGAGATTTTTGAAAAAGGCACATTAGGACTCAAAGCATTTCATATGGTCTCACCCCCTCTGATTAAACATGCACTCGGATTCATCACATAGTGCAATGCCTGCCCATGCACACAAGCAATGTGTACACAGTTATGCCATGTTAGATTCTTCTATTAAGCAATGAATAGGGTAATACCTCATTAATTGCACATGCAACCTTTTAAGGAACTATATTTGCATATTTCCATGGCTCCAGAATTGGCAGGAAAACAAAAAGGCAAGAAACTTGAGGCAAACCCTTTCACCAAGAATCTTTGCAAGCTCCATAATTCTACAAAAGTTAACACAAGTTTAACACTGGTGAACTAGATTTTAAGCAACTCCATGTAAATCCTATACCTCCCAGCATCCCCCAGCCAGTTTGTGCTCCTTAACTGGTGATACTTAAAATCCCAGTGTCTGCAGTCAATTTTAAGTCTGTAAGTCAAGGAAGTCTTGGATATGTTGAGACAGAAATCCTAGAACTCTCGACATCTCCCCAGAGAACCGAGACTTCTAGCACCCCTTAGAAGAAGCTAAAAGGGGCACTATCAATCATCTACTTTTTCAGAACAGAGTGGGACTGCGCAGAGGGAGTGCATGCTACAAGTTTGGAGTAGGCTCAAAGATATAGCACCCAAGCACTGCTGCAGAAAGAGGCATTTGTGTGTGTTTAAAACACAACAAAACTTTTGGCAAACACAACAGTTACCTTGGTTGCTGCCCAGTCCATCCATCCCTCGGCACATGGGTTCACATTGATAAGGACAAGTCCTTCCACCATATCAGGATAGTTAAGCTGCAGATTGAAAAGTCATGTGAACAAGTGGCCAGGCATGACAGAAAAACAAAACACAACATGGAAGTTTTTGTTTCTAGGAAGAGGACTTAACATGGTTTGGGAAAGGACACAGAACACTCCAACATCTCCATTTTCAAAAGCATGTGGGAAGTGAAGCTTGTCTTTGTGAAGATGAGATTGCAATCATCACCCACTGGGATTCAGGGAAGAAAACTGGCCCAGGATAAAACACTGGTACCAAAAAAAAGAAACAAACAAAAAACCCCAAAACAAAAAACCCACAAACACCCCCCCTTCAAAACAAGCAAAAAAAAATAAAAATAAAAATAAAAAACAAAACCCCCAAAACCCTCACAAGGGCTTTGAGTTTTAGAACTAGTCACTTGTCAGTTGGCATTCAGCATGTCAAAGACAAACTGTGGAGAAAAGTTTACATATGCTTCTACTATCACTATGAAACAACTAAGAGACTTCAAGAAAGCCTTATGAAAAGAACTTACAGCAAATCTGGTTAAGATGTAGGCCCCAGCACCTGTTCCCATTCCAATCACACTTTTCAACCTAAAGAAGGCAGTCACAAATAGTTACATCATGCTTGCAAAACAATGCTAAACCAAGTTTTGATCTGTCTCCCATCACCACACTTTCTGATGCAGCTGTTTCATATTACTTTGTGCTCAGTAGGAACTCCATGTCATGTCAAACTACAGTAGGATGACTTAGGGCAATGCAGCACTGATCCCCCAACAGAACACATCTTATCAGCCTACTACCATCACCACCCAAAGCAAACATCACACCTCACCAAACAAAATAGAACAAACGCAACCAGGCAAGGTACAAACCAGCAAATCCACCAAAAGGTCCAGGACTGGAAAATGTCCTAGACATACCTGGTTTCAGTAGCTGACTAGCAGGCTAAACAGTTTGTTCTCTTCTTTCCATACATCCTCTCATGAAATTGGTAAAATTTTATTTGGCTTGCTTAGCATTTGCTGCAAGAACTAAATAGATGTGGGGTACTAAATGCTCATTTGTTTTTAAATATTTAAGGAATAAAAGTCCATGCTAGAACCAAGCCATCATGATCTTTGGCACACTTTTTAAAAAAGGTGAGGGTATCACATAAAACAGGGAAAGATCTGTTATTATGCCAGCTCTTATTTACTCTAACAGGTAAGCTCCCATCCATTTAAGGCATCTATTGAACAGTGACTTTACAGCAACCAGAATGACAGGATCTTTGTAGGAACAGTCCATAATAATGAGAAGGTCCAGTTTGCAAAGGATGTCAGGGCCACTTCAAATAAGCACCAGAAAAGTCAGCAAGAAGCAGGCCCTCACAGAGCTCATCAGCTGCTAACCTCCCTTCAGGAAACCTTGGGATAACACTGTGAAATGGGAAAACAGCTTAAATCCACTCTGAAGAGCTTAAGTCAGCCTTCTCTAATCTGCTGTCCTCTCGACATTTTGGAGCTGGAAGTCCAAAACAAATGCACATGGTCAACAGACAGCAGTGCTGGAGTTGTAGTCTAAAACATCCAGAGGGCACTGAGTTAGTGGGGACTGCCCTAAGTGACCTCACTACAGGTCAACAATTCTACTTACCCAAACTGTTTAAGAATTCCAGGAAGCATTTCAGCCAGTTGATCCATGGATGGGTACATGTATCTATAAAAATAATGATAAACGGTTAAGCCAGATTAACCTGGTACTGGGCCCTCCTACCCAGGCAAAACAAGAGTCAGAATCCATTTAGTAGGATTGCCACTGGTGAACAAACTATGTCTGTACATCCAGAATGAGACTAAAATGTACAACTTAGTACTTCACAAGCAAGAAGTGTCAGGAAAAGTTACCTCAACTCCAGTATCATCCCCAACTTTTGGAAGTGAAGCTCCTCTTCAGCAAGGGGGAACAACCCTTTAATTACCAAAGGATACATGTGATTCTGGCTCAGGGGATATGCACCTGAGCATGAACGACCTATGTATCCATAAGGTAGTTCAGTAAACTCCCCGCTGCAATCCCCCCAACCAAAACTAATAATAATAATAATAATAATAATAATAATAATAATAATAATAATAATACGAGCAGACTTCTGTAAATATGAACCTATGGATTCCAGTCTCACAGCCTATGCTGACATTTTTCACTTCCTGAAATGGTATGCAAATTTAGATGTACAAAAATACAAAAAGTTAAAACACTGGCCAGGCTAAAGGGTGAAAACACAGGTTGTGAGACTTTTACTAATATGCAAATACATGTTTTGGAAGTGCAGTTTTGTACAAGTGTGCATCTTCCACAGCAAATGCATGCTTAGGAAAGTCAAGAAAACTGAGTCCACGATTGGGCAAATGAAAGATGCCTGACTATCTATGAAATACAGACCCAATGGATTTAACAAGATCTGCACTTCTCTAGTACCCTGTGCACAGTGACTGATATGAGATTACTTTTCCCCCACTGCAAACAACAATGGGAAAAGAGTAATCTGCACGGCAATCTCTGGGAGACCAAGTGAGGAGTACAAGTAGGGGGAATTTGGTGGCTGAGTAGGGTTGCAGTGCACTTGCAGACTCCTGAAAAGGCTTTGGGGGAGCTGTAGACTGCGCACCCCACGTATAGCAGTAGTTTCATTCCCAAGAGGTAGTAGAAGACCTGACACCAAGGAAGTGCCACAGAGATTTTATTTTTTTAGTTTAAGAGCTGCAAGTCTAAGCACTGCCACTAGCAGCACACATAAGAGAACATGAGGCGCCCTCATAAAGCTATAGCAAGCACGCAGCAAGTCATGTTTCAGACAGGTGTGTTTTACCAGTGGCAAGAAGCCGGAGCAGCCACAGGTCTTTAAACACAACATGCATATTTGCTATCAGGCAGTTTGTGACTCAATCCTCAACTGTACAGTATTCTAAACAAGACCTTTACAGCATCAACTATGGAGGGTCCTTAACACCTCTCCAAAAGTCCCAAAAGGTTCCAGATGACAACTTTCAGCAAGCAAAGGCACTTAATGTAGGTCTCTATGTAATCTTTGACTTGGTATATCCAGGTTTAGTCATCTAAGAAAAAGTGTACAATTTGTCCTCTAGTCCCTTTGAAGTGGATTACCACCAAATGGCCAACTTGTTTTTCACAACCACCACTGATTCCAGTGGTCCAGTATTAGGGGGTCTCAGGAGCTGCATGTGTCCATCCCTGCCCACCTCCCAAATCCAGTCTAGGCAAGTGGCTACTGGTAACAGGGAATTCTCTGTGGCAGAGCCCTTTTAGAGAGACCTTAAATACACCCCCTGAAATATGGATGCATGGTAATGACAGGGGGTGGTGTTTGGTACTATGCTTTATTTTTCGAGGCTATTAAGGATAGTAAGCTGCTTTTGTTCTTTTGACCTGGCATTCGGGTATTGTGTTTCTGCTTTCATTACTGTTAGCATTACCATTGCTATCTACCTTGAATAACTGGAGAAAGCAGGGCTGGGGGAGAGCAGAAAGGCAAAGATATTTTTCATCAAGTCTGCAAACCCAACTTACCCTGCTGGAAAAGGGGCTGCTCCATCTTGCTGCCCAGGGGCATCCACGTGGCAGACTGCAAAATGCTGTGTGATTTCTTGCATGTCTTCAAAATTGAAGAGGGGGTTGAAGCAAGTTTTATCTTTAGAGGTGAAGAACAGAGGACAAGGGAGAAAGGCACAAACATGAATGCTTGTGTGCATTTAAAGAATGCTCAAACTACAACAAGGGAGTTAGTATGCTGGTATCTGAAAAAGCACTTTTAAGATTTTGCTTCAGAGTAAGGGTAAAAATGGCACTTCATGGCATTAACTTCATGAACACAATATCCACAGAGAATTCACTATGACAAGTCAGTATTAAAAAAGTAACATTTGCTTGTGAGTACTAAGTAAAGGAGACTTTTAAAAGAAAAGTCTTGGGCTTCTGCTCATGCTGTGTACTTTTTTGGAGTACACCATCTAAGACAACTTTTCCATTCTTTTTAAACCTCTGTGTAATTCAATGACTACTCCAATTTTATCACAAAATCCCCAGGACTGAGGAGCTTATTACATAGCAACAAACACTCTGCAGACAGGGAATGAAATGAGTTGCAGTTCAATGCACCTGAAAAAGGCTGCTCTGCAAGATCTCTTTGGATTTCTGAAAGACTAATATCAGAAAAAGGATCCACTGCAGGATGGATGGCTAATATTTTGATAGAATGAGTTGTCATTCTATGCCTTGAACAGTTCATTAGAGATTCTTAAGCAGAGGCTTGATGGCTACTGTAACAGGTGCTTTTAAACTAGATGTCTTGTATTGGCTGGAACTAACTACTGGCTCAATCAACCTTTGAGGGTCCTCCGAACTCTACAATTCTAGCCTTTGAGAGATTTCATAATTTGAGGACAGCCCCAGTGCTGACCCTATAATTAAAGAGAGCAGGTGCCCCAAGCAGCAGATGCCAGAGGCGGCAGCAAGCTACAAGCCATGCAGTTGTCCCACATCCCCTAGGCTAGCCTGAGATCTTCAGGTGTAGTGGAGAATGCTCTTCTGAAGGTCTCAGCAGTCAGCTTTTACACAGGGAGAGGAAGGTGACACCACCGTGTTCTTTGCCTTGGGCAGAAAAATAGGTTCGGTCAGCACTGCACAGCCCTAGAAATGCTTCTTGGGCAAAGCACTCAATCCTAGGAGTGCTAAGAAGAATGAAATAGTCTGACGGCCCCTGGGCCTGAGCATAATTCAGAGGTGCAAACTGGCATTGTCTGGGCTTGAGCTCGTTTTTGGTTAGAAGAAGCTACAAGAGATAAGCAGGATGGCATTGTGGAATGTAATGAGTCAAGTCTTCTTCTAATTTATTGGGCAGCAATTTGGCATAGAGATCTAGGAACTCTGACGTGTGACAGGACTGAGGCTCACAGATTACTCTGATGGGTTGTACAAATGAAGTCTCATTTGAAAGGTAGGTTTGAATTCTTTGCTCTTATGCAGTCACACACCAATCAACATGGAGAAGACTGAAGCTAGCATTAATGCACTTTAGAAAGATAAGAACTTGGCGTGCAATTCCAAGAAGTGTCTGCTTCTCTGACACATTTGCAACTATGAATCCAGCATTGCCTAGGAAAATTTTGCCCATCATAAACTATCCAGTGGCTTACTTACATTAACACACTGTCAATTTTTTTATTTGCACTGGGTCACAAAACAGAATGCAAAGCAACTGAAGTTAAATAAATCAACCCTTCAAAACACACTAGTGTGAATAGGGCCAAGATGCAAGCTTATGATCACACTTACGATTCAATCCGATATCATGGTATGTTAGGATGGCAGGCCTATTTGACCGAGGAGTTCCACACATGGTGACATGGACAGACCCATGTATCGTCTCAACATCTTGTTCCTGTAACAAAGAAGATAGCTGGCTGAGCACTCCACTTCGCACCCAACAAAAAAGCTTTCACATCCAGCAAAAGGTGATCTGGAGGCCTTCATAATCAGATAAGTCTAATCAAAGTTGTCTTAGAGCTGTAAATCTATTCTAGCATAACCACTGACATGTCCAGTAATAACACCCTAATTTTCCACCGATTGCCTACCAATTAGGTAATAATGGTGTTTCTCATGTTGAAAAAAATTCATTTGGTTCACGTTTCAAACCCCTATAATTCACTGCACACTCATGAGGTGGCAGCCCATGTAAACTAAAATTATGTATTTCTTCTTCCATCCCTTCTAACTTGTACTAGGAAATGAAAGTCAGTAAAGAAGAAAAAGGAATGCTGAAAATATTAGTTTATAAAAATACTCTGTCATGCTGAGAATATTAAGGGCTACAATTACAATTTACTCATTTTAATTTGACCCAGGGTATAATCTAAAAGCACACGGTAAAGAAAGAACCCTTGCCAAAGGTATTGGAAGGAGAATACAGCAGCAGCAACATACATTTTGAAACTGTACAGAGAGCTTTGACTATTGGGTGGTATTGGAAGCCAGTAAACAAATAAATATTTGTCCTTTCAGCATGTCTTCTGGGGAAGGGAGTCTATTCCTGGAACCCAAAATAGTTTAAGTAGCTGCTTGAAGTCCATAACTATAATTTACAATTACAACCAGTAAATAGCAAGGAGTTCTCTGCATGACAAACTGCTATCCCCTTGGGGTAGTTCCACCTAAATCTTGTGAGAAAACTGATCCGTAGCTACAAAAAGCATTATCCCTACGCCACTGCCTGGTTATCAGTTTGTTCTTGTTACCAGTTTTTATGTAAACACACTTGAGAGTGGGGAGTCAGACCCACAGACATTGTAGCATTCAGTGATTGTATGTGTTTCAGAAAAACAAAAGTAACAACCTGCAGCAAGTGTGAGACAGCAAGTGTTCATCTATTTTTTAGCTCTCTAGAAGCTAAAATATCCCATACTGTATATTGCATAATCCAAACTGCCTACTGCTCATAAGCCTTAAAAATGGTATGCAAAATTTCTTCGAGGCCACTTAATTCAAGAATCCCACCCCCCACAAAAAAAACAAAAAAAAAAACAGTATTCTACACCACCATACATTCCCCACACACAAAGCTTTGTCTAATTCCAGATTAAGTACATGAAAGATACTTTGATTTAAAAAAAGCTGTAACCCCAGAATCTGCCTTTAGGTATTCCTAGTGCTCAAATGGCAGTAAGCAAAAGTACTTACAGCATTATGTAATAAATAGGCAGTATCTTCCACATCCAGCACCATTTTTAGACAGTGCAGTTTGATTATTAATTTCAAGGAACAGACAGAGAAAACAAGGATCAGGTTTTACTTGGACTGGGTGGTAAGCTAGTTTATATAGCCAAGCTGTTGCTCTGCCTAAGCCCTCGATTCCCATAATGCCTCCTTAAAAAACCAACACAAACCAGTTCAGAAGGGACGTCATTCAGATTTAAGAAAGGTTTGACCGTAAGGCACGGCTCAACTGTGGGGGGCAGGGAAGGGAGGAGACAATATGGGGTTTCACTTTCAGGAACACTCCCTTACGTGGAGGTGTCTACTCTGTTGAGATCATTTTGGACCCAGCAGCAAAAATATCATTCCTAGAAGCTTTGTCTGTCAGTGCCACCCAGTTTCATGACAGACTCAGGTGGCCACCAGCAGGGAAACTCACTGTTTTAACCATCCTAACCTGGTTGAGTTGCTATTTACCCCACAAGTTTTGAAATATTATAAAGTTTAATATCTGTGCCTATCTATACGGATTTGCAAACCCGAACTGCTTTATATTTATGCAGATTCCTTATTTGTAGTATTCTTTGTGGAGTGCCCCCTTAAGCTTTTGCAGTACAGCAAACAGCTTCTGCTGTTTATTACGAGCCTAGTGGTTCAACTATATATTCTGATTTGCATTCTCTTCCAGCTTCTCCTTCAGGGCTTCCTAATAGCCTAATAAAAAGGGCCTAATTGGTGGGTTCTCTCTTTTCCTAATCACAAGTTGCATGTTTGTAAAACAAAATCAATCCTCTGCTCAGCACACAAACTGTTCCCTTCATGTGCCATTTGGAACCAAAATACAACAAATAAGATTTCCTTAGAGGAATACAAACATCTGATAGAAAATGAAATTCTTGGGATTCACTAATGAGACATGAAGTTCAACAGATTATGCTACTGGAATATGACACCAATACAAGCCATATTCTTATGCTAAATCAAAGTAACTTTGAAGTAATTTTCATTTCCAAGTTAGGATGTTAAGCCAAACGACATCAGAATGGCAGACTGATGCTCTCGGTGCTTCCAGATGGGGCTTTTATCATACTGTTGCACTGCCCATTAATAGGATTGTATGGTTTGTGCATGTGCCCAGGTAACATCTTCCAAGTGTAATGCTGCCATGTTTTCCTGCCATTTTGCCTACCTTTTTTTCCTGTCAAAGAAAAACCACTGAGGGAAAAACAGAATAGCTCCACAATGTATTTTGACTGGTTACTTCACTAGTCTTTTATCTGAAAGTCCCCAGTGCCAGTTAAAAAGACACCAAAAATTGGTTTAGTGTTCTGTTGATTGTGAGAATAACCTAAGATGGCATGAAAAAGTGTTTAGAATTGTCAACGGTATACACAAAAATCATGTAGGCATTTGGGAAGAGGAATTCAGTTTTTAAAAATCTGATCCATGCAGTAAAATCAGTGAACAGAACGTTCTGGCTTGCTATTTGAATATAGCAAGAGCACAGAAGTTTCATGTAAAATTGCCCTATACCCATCTTTGCAATTTAGGATATGCTTAAGATTAATAGCAGACTAAGATTAATAGCAGCAACTTGCTCTAAACCCCAGGGGAAAGCCAGGTTGCTCAGGAAAAGAATTCCTTTGCTAGTATATAATGCAAACTCAAGATGAACCGATGAAGAATGTGCAAGCTGCTTCTGCAAAACAGCCACGGTATATGAAGTACCTCACGCAATGGTGATATTTTGTTGCAGTGAAGTGAGAAAGAAAGCTGCACATTTCCAAAAAAGCCACAGTCAATCCGTGCCAAGTGCATGAATTTGGAGATGCCCAGTCCCTCTCACACAGCATGCTCACTGCAACTGCAGACCTCTATAAACAATAATCAACCTCAGTTGTCCTCATCAATAAAGTGATTTGGTCTGCCTCAGTTGTCATTCTCAGAACTACTTGACCATTTCAGTACTGTGGCAGGAAGTAGAGTTACCACCATAGCTGTAAGAATCTAACCCCATCCTCCAAGTTAGCACCAAGCTTTCTGATTATGCATTTTGGACTGTGCACTTTGCCATGCAACAGTCAAGAAAGAGCGCGGTCCACTCAGCTGAATTTGCTTCAAGTAAGAGAAGACAAGACAGCATCAAGGGCACAGCTTAATCAAACCCATTGTCACAATCGCAGAGCTCTTAACTGACCAAGAGATCTGCTGCTGTGACTTCTAGAAGAGTTTCCCTTCCGCCCCCCCCACACACACGCACACACACACAGAGAGAGAGAGAGAGAGAGAGAGAGAGAGAGAGAGAGAGAGAGAGAGACCGACCAAAGACGTGGCACATTGAAAACAGATGGCAGTATATCCTAATCAACGTCAGTGTGAGAGTAAGAGGCTCTTTACTGACCGATTTGTATTAAAACACTATCTTGGAAAAAAAAAAAGTCCAAGGTACACTAATCCGATAGAAGGATAAAGACAAACGTGCCATCTGTTCCTGCATCCCTAAGTCTTTAGAAAGACAGATATTCCTGCTTGGCAGGCTATACAATTGCACATGGCTGTTAGAAAAACACATTTGAGTGCTTTTAGAGCTTGAATGTTTTCTTCATGAGATGAGGCATCCATATACCAATTTCAAATACAACAGCCTTTTGCAAACAGCTTCTCAGGAAATACCTCCTGGCTTGATGAAGCTGTGTAGATACATGTAAAAATGCAAGTCAGTTCAGACACACATGTACATAACAACAGGAGATCACAAAGTACTCAGCTGCCAAATCATGAACACAATACTGCATAGGACCAGTAGAGTCTGGTGGTGAGAGTAAAAGACTGGGGACCTGGGAGATTTGGGTTCCAGTCCCTGTGCGGCCATGACTGAGTGACTTTGAGCCAGTCACTCCTGGCTAACCTACACCGCAGGACAGTTGTTGTGAGAATAAAACAGTGATGTAAGCTGCCCTGCGTTCCTCACAAGAGGAAAAAGGCAAGATATAAATACAGCAGAAGAGCAGCCAGCATGATGTAATGGTTAAGAATGTGGGTTTAGGACACAGGTGATCTGGATGCTAGTCCCCACTAACCCACCTCACAGGGCTGTTGTGATCAGGAGGAAAATAATGAGATATGCTGCTTTGAGTTCTTTAAAAAATGAAAAAGGTGAGAAATAAATAAATAAATAAATAAATAAATATCTGGCAGTAAGTGGCAAAGCAAGTTCATGGGATCCCAAGCAGGAGTCCCTCCAAAATTGAGAACATTCTCGAAGCTCTCTGGGAAAAAGCACAATCCTTACATGGCTGTGGTATGCCAGCAGAAAAGGAACAGAGCAACCTTCATAGCTTTGGTGCCACCACTGAAAAAGCTCTGTCCTGAGTACCCTTCCGAGTCTACTGCCACACACTATATCCCCTTTCTTGTCAACCAAAGACCACTAGGGCCATTGCTTCAATCAACAAGATCAACTGCAAAAGCCATACTAGCACTCTATTCAAGGTCAATGTGGAGACTATTTGGACCCTACCTTTTTGTCTTTCATTCTGTCCAATCTGTTGCTAACAAGAGCTTTGCCAAACTCAGGGTTACAGGCAGAAATAATTTTTCCACCCCAGGTCTAGGATCAAAGGCTGGCAAATAACAAGCATGCCATAATATACTTACAACCGCCCCCTCCTTGAATCTGGGGATTTTATTTTCTCAGGAATAAACTGCTGTACTGCTGCAACTCTACAACCCTTCATCGAGAAGTATGGCCTGTGCCGTTATCTTGTTGGAGCCACAGTACTGCGACCATGTTTTGTTTAGTACTGCCAGTACTTTTTAGCCTTGCATCCTGTGGCTACTGTTCTGTTCTCCTGGTTTTTGTGCTTTGCTCCTTTCTACTTGGCTTGCTTTGCTCTGCTCCTTTAGCCTGCTCTTCTACTAAAACCACTGAAGCACCTTCTTACAGAGAAAAGAGGGCAATGTGAAAATATTCCTCAGCATACCTGCAGCAGGTTTACTGAAGCTTTGGAAGTGATGCATCAGCCTAATTTTTCTTCTGCAAAGCAACCAAAACAGTGCCATCCTTGTGTGGCACAAGGCCAGAACTAGGCAAGAGCTAAAGCTGCAGCATGGGAACCTCAGATGCAACCCTTATTCCCTGCATAAGCAAACACAACACTTCGCAAAACAGTCTGGGCTGTAAGTGATACTACCTTTACTATGAAGAACAACAGCTACATTCATTTTTTTAAATTAAGCAGCATGTATGTTTAATGTCATAAAACAGAAGCACTTGCCTATTCCATTGAACTCACATTGTTTTCAAACACCAGACAAACAATTATCAACACTTCAAGACAACGTTAACAGAGTGCATGTTGTATACTTTTAAATCCACAAGTGCAACACACCCATACAATTGCTTCTAGGACAGTAACAGCTTTTCACACTACACACTTTTTTTAAACCAGCAGCGATTGACTCACCCTGCAAAGACATCCAAATTCATGTCAAAGACATTCAAATTAAGACTTTCTCCATTTATGCAGCCAATGCAAACTTGCCAGAATTTGGGCCTTGTAGTCAGAGCTGGATAACCTTTGTCTGGGCAGCACCATGTAATTTAATGTTCTCTCATGCACAGAAAAACCTCTAACAAAAGGGGGCGGGGGGAAGGTGTCAGGTAAGAACCAATGCACTAGTTTTTGTTTTTAATGTGGAAGGAATGTTTTCACATGGAAAACCATTGAGCCATTTCAGTGGAAGGCTGACCTCCTCAGTGACACCAAGGCCTACATAACCTGGTTCTGAAACTTAACAGCCCATCACGTTCATTCCGTATGGTACAAGGACAGAGTGTTCTCCAAGCAGCTATATTTGGCAATTTTAATGCTCTTGTATGTTCAGGGTACAGCACAAAACAGATTATTAGGTGCTCATTTGTGCGCCCTGTTTAGTACCAGATATGAAACTTCAGGAACATCAAGTGATTCTGCCCCCTAACCTGTTACACTGGAATTTCCTACGCCCTCCCATTATACTTGGCATCCAATGGAAATTTAATTCAGCTCTTTCAATAAAAGAACACACACATCTTGTCCAAATACAACTAAGGCTTTGTCCTAAACCAAGAACAGTGTTTGGAAGAGTTCAACTAATGGACATGGGAACTATGTTGCTTGACTCCTCTATGCTACCTATAATTTTTGGGCAGGAAGTTCTGAACTCATCCACAGACACACAAGGGAACCCTTGAAAAACATGGCAACATTATAAAGAGCTAAGAAGCCTTCAGTATCTCTGCCAGTATCAGTCCATTTAGGCAATCACGATGTTAGGCTGAATGAAATCGCATTATTTCTAAATGCTCAAACGCAGGTTGCACAAATCTACAGATAAACAGTGTCCAGGTGTTTCTATGCAAACACTAGAAGCAGCTGAGCCAGAATAGAGAAGCTAGAGTGCCTGGCTTTACTGGAGAAGCTAGATATAATGAGCATTACAGAAACCTGATGGAATGTAGAGAAACAATGAGATACAGTCCTTGCTGGCCATAAACACTATAGGAAAGAAAGTGAACCCTGAAGACTGTATAATCTAACAGGATCATATACCTCAATAGAAGTATTGTGGGTGGTAATACCGCCAAAACTAATTTAGTCCTAGGAATATGCTACTATCTCCCAGATCAAATACTCAAGGAGGCCTCAAAACAAAGGGGGGGGGGAGGTGACTTCAACTATCCCCACATCAACTGGATAAAAGTGTGTTCCAGTTCTGACAAAGACTTTAAATTTCTCAATGTCCTAAGCAACCATTCTCTAGAACAGCTAATCTTGTAACTGTCTAGCCAGAGGGAAGAAATCCTGGATTTAATTCTAGGTGGGGTTGCATAGGATCAGTAGACATTTACAATGTTGTTTAACCAGATTTACTATACATTCAGGAGGAAGATTGTTAAGAGGTTCAATACTGTCACATTGGACTTCAAAAGAGAAAACTTCTCTAAAATGAGGGAACTGTAAAAAGAAGGCTGGAAGAGGGAGTCAAGATGGTCAAAGCCCCTCAAAATAATTGGAGATTAAGTAAAACAATAATAGTCATTCAACAAGAAGGCATACCACAGCTTCGGAAAAACAAAAAGTCCAGGAGATTACTAGAATGGTTAAGGAGTGGTATCATGGAAGCTATTAAAGACAGTTTCCTTCAGAAAGTACAAGTCTTGCTCAAATGAGGAAAATAAAAGCTTGCAGGAGGGAAATGCAAGGAGAAATGAAAAATGCAAAAAAGCAGTAAATAGATAAATACATATTAGGGAGCATATAACTAACAGCATCACAGACAACTATAAAGAAAGATTTAAACATATCAGAAAAAAGAAATCTTCTAGAGAAGCAGTTGGATTATTCAAAGATGATGAAATTAAAGCAGGTTAAGATGATTGCGGAGATGCCAAAAAAATATTTCCATCTCTCTCTATAGCAGAGGATACAGGACAGATACCTATTCTGGAACTTGTGTATTCCAGCAGAAAGTCTGAGGAATTAATCAAACAGTGGTGCCAAAAGATGAAATTCTCAACCTGGGCCCACAAGGTATCCATCTCAAACTCCTTGTAGAGCTCAAATCAAAATTGCTGACCTTTATATCAAATCTGTAACATGTCCCTAAGATCATCCTCTATAGCAGAGAATGGCCAACTTAACAGCAATTTTTGAAAAGAAATCGGGGTGGAGATGGGGGCCAAGAAAATTCTAGTCCAGTTAGAGTAGTATCTGTTCTGAGTAAATTGCTTGAAAGTGTTATTAATAGAATATGTGGAGAGAAAAATCCTGCTGAAAAAGAATAAACATGTCTTTTCTTTTTAGGGTAAGTCTTGTCTCACTAACCTACTAGAGTTCTTTGAGAGCGTGAATAATCAGATGGACGAGGCAATCCTCTGGACATCATTTGCTTGGACTTCCAAAAGGCTACCCAGTCACACATTTAATGCAGGTCAAAAACAATTCAACAAGCTTGTTTTTCTAGGCACAATCTTCACTATTTCTAGGTTTTTAACAGCAGCAATGTGCGTATCTGTAGCAATTTTCCCATTCAGACTGGTAAAATGCTATGTATGTGTTACTTTATGAACCTTTTCTTGGTACAACTATAAAACGTTTTTATTTTGTTGTTAAGGACAGTACAGATCTGTCTTTTTGAATCCAGTAAGCTGCAGCTCTTTTGGGCAGCAACATCCACCAGCTCCAGCCAGCATTTCCAGTGGTCCAGAATGCTGGCAGTAGCTGTCCAAAATGACTTCCTCAGCATTTTTGTTATCCAATAGCTTTACCATACTCGGGAATTAAAGTGTTGTCTCTTTTGCAAGAAAAATATTTTTGTATATTCTTTAATTTCAACTTAATTCCAAAAGTTAGGAAAGGATGGCATGGCCAACCAAGAATTCATAATATGACTAGAAGTGTTCCAATACTGAAAGTGGAAATGCACTTACCTGAACATCAATGTCAGGCAGGAGTTGTGTGATAGCCTAGAAAAAGAGTGCATAATTAGAGCACATTGGTGCAAAAGGATGAAGAATATCTAATTTCAATTCTAAAATGTAAAGGTTGTGCAGATGCTTCATGCTGGCTTAACAGCTCAGCAATTATGCATAGGGTTAAGCGTTATGGGACACTGGAGTCAAACGGGTGCCTAGACATACGTAAGAGTAAACCCACTGAAATTAATGGACTGTAGTTAATAATGTTTACATAAATTCCCACTTATATCAACGCATCTACTCCAAATATGAATAAACCTGGATCCAACCCAGGAATCTACTGTAAAAAAAGAGGATGCAGGACAAAGTAGCATCTTACACTTGTAAACTAAAACACCATGCCCAAATACTCCACGGAAGTCACCTGGATATTGCAAGGTCCTCTCATCTCCATGTGTATCATTCTAACTCCACAGCAAAGGCCGTGGAGGCAAAATTACAATGAAGTTTTAGTACTTAGCTCTTTTTAAAGCAGCACAACTGAAGTTAATAATTTTCCTGTCTACAAGAACATAATTTTGTACTATCCTTCCAGCATCCCATGCATCAGTCACTATCATAACTTCCCAAACAATCTGGCATGGGACATTTTGCTGTTGGCGAGATCTTCTTTCCATGGAGCAAGGAGAAAAGAAATCCTACTAATCTCCCTTTATTTATACTTGGCCCTTCAGTTCTACTACTGCTGGTCTTCAGACATTCTGGACTTTGGTCCCCATCAGCCCCTGCCAGTATGGCCAATGGACAGGAGCTGGGAGTTGCAGTCCCAAACATTTGGAGAGCACCAGGAAGAGACCCAGGGAGTCATGTGGGGGGAGTATCCCACAGATGGGGCTCCATAGCTGAGAAGGTACTTACTCTGGTCGTCACCCATCTAAACTCTGAGGACACCCACAGAAGGACCATAGAAGACAGTCTCTGCATTCAGGAGGATTCCTGTGGTCCTTCTACACAGCAGTTCCAACTTACCTCTTCTCGGTCCACCAACGGTTTCACCTCTGTAATATGCGAGTCCTGGCCTTTCCCTGACATTGTCAGTAGCTGGTACCTTAAAAAAAAAAGCCAAAGATATTTGTCTTGATTATGTCCAATGTACATGACGTACAAAATGAAGTTTATGCAATTTGAGTTTATGAAATTCCTCAGAGTGAGAGATGCAGAGGTGCATGCACTACTGTTGAGATACACAAAGGCACAGAGATCACAAAGAACTTCAGTTCAGCATTCTCTATCATGGCTGACGTACAAAGCAGGTTAGCACATCCTTTCTATGTCCCTCTCACCTCTCAGCAGTGTTTTGACTCTGACAAGTGTTCAGATCCACAACAGTGGCCACTGCTATTTGAGCTCAGGGTCTGCAACAAATGCAAATCAACTGACCCAATTAGAGTTACACTACAGATGGGGACGCATAACAACTAATGTAGTCAGTATTAACAGAGCCAGTGTGGTATAGTGGTTATGAGCATGGGGCTGCAACTCAGGAGATCTGGATTCCAGTCCCTGCTCTCAGTCAGGGAGCTCATTGGCTGACTTTGGCAAGTCACAGACTCTCAGCCCAACCTACCTTACGGGGCTGTTGCTGTGAAGATAAGGTGGAGAGGAGGAGGAGGAGAATTATGCAAGCCACTTTTAGTTCCTTGGAAGTAAAAAGGAGGGATACTAATATAAATTGATACCATCGCTGCCACTTGTGTTCTATAGCCAAGGACGCAGCTGTGACTGCCAGACACCATAGGTGTCAAACTTGCCACTAGCTCATATGAGGTGGCAAAGGTAAGTAGGCCATCAGCCACTGGGCAATATATCCTATTCAATGTATCAATTCAATCTCCTAGTTCAAACCAAGTCACTTATCAGCCCTCGCGAGGTTGGCCAATCATCAGTTGTAGCCTAAAACATCTGGAGGTGAAGAAGGCTAATTCAGAATATTATTATTATTATTATTATTATTATTATTATTATTATTATTATTACATTTCTATGCCGCCCCTTGCCGAAGCCTCGGGGCGGCTTACAACACAATAAAATACAATAAAATACAAAAATAACAATATAAAATTAAAATTAACAATATAAAATAAATAAAAAATATAAAAGAATATAAAAGAAGTCGCCCTGGCCAGAATATGTCAGGATCCTCCGTCTAGCACAATTACCATGTTCTTATGAGTTGCTTGAAATTATATTACCGGATATGACCCTACTCAGCAAGTCACTGTGCTTGACTTCTCTAGAGATACAACATTTCTGGGGAACCAGGAATATACCCAAACTACAAAACACAGTGGTATAGCATGCACAAACTAGTTTGCTTGAATTAATAGAAGCTGGCTAGAACAACAGAGTGCTCTCACCTAATAAGTTTCTACTAATACAGTGAAGGGGACATACCAGTCTATCCATTCCAAGGATGCTGCAGAAAGCAAATGAAGGAAGCTATTAAAGAGAAAGCTGAAGACTAGGTTTCTGCTATTTTCCAATGGAAGCTGGCTAACAGAACAAGCCCACAGCCTGTGCAACATATAAGAAAGTTTACACATAGTTGCTTTGGGTCAGCCACAAGAAACAGAAGTGTAATCTTTTGCCAGTGTCCCAACAAAATGAAGACATTATAATGCTCAGAAAGAATTTGCCAATTAAGATTTTTATAGGACTTATTATTTTAAGTGAGGTATTTACATGTTATTAACCTGGTCATTCAAGCTGAGCTACTGTGCAGAAGTAAAATAGATGAAGTGAAATACAGAGTTGCCTCATATTAAATAGGTGAACTACAAAAGAACTAGAAACATCCTACATCATGAGATCTACAGAACTCCAGTGACTGCCTAGCAACTTTCTGCCCCTAGAGGGAGTTAAATGCACACAGCCAAACTCTTCTGCATTCTTCTGGCCCCTTCGAAGCAGTCATGGGATTGGGTTCATTAAGGGCAGCTTCCTACTTTATAAATTTAAGTCATATGAATACTTCTGCAACTCCACCTTATGATGAAATAAAATTTCTACAAGATGAGTCACAAGGGGACTTGTGGAAATATTCCTGTTGCTTAGAATCATAACATTAGAAACAATACTGCAGGCAAGTATCTGAGATAAGAAGTCTAGAGAGTTCCATCTCAGTAAGATGGGAATATACATCATTCTCCATATACCTATTGCACAGTGACTAGGAAGGCATTCCCAGATTTTCAGGCAGGAAATTCTCCTAGCGCTACTCAGCCACCCTTGGAAATGAACCTGGGGCTTTTGCCATGTGTTCTACTATGAAGGGACAGTGCTTTCCCGGTACAGTAGCATGTACTTTTAATCATGCCTTCTCTTCAATCCCAACTTCCTGCTGTTTGAAGCCCAACTTGCACCTGCAGTGTGATGAGCACCTGAAGTGGAATTTTAAGCAAGTCACTTTCTGTGGCAGGCCAGCCTTCCCCAACCTGGTGCCCTCTACATGTTTTGGACTTCTACTTCCATCCATTGTAGCCAAGAGTCAGAAATGCTGGAAGGCATAGTCCAAAACATCTGGTCAGCACCAAGCTGAGGGAGTCTACAATAAGCCATGCCTATTATAGAAATTTCCTGCTGTTCTCAGTTTTGCCAATGCAAAATTTGATGACAATAGGTGATGGTCCATAGCTCTAGTTGATCATGCTGAATGCTAAACAGGGATCTTGGCTGCACCCTTCCCTGCCTTTCGCTAACCTACAGATGACCAAGTCTTTTAACAGAATAGCCTGGTTATACAGCTAGCTTCATATATTCTTTACATTTAAATTTGAACCTCCAGTTAAAGGACATGAGGCAGCAGGACTGGATCCCCTACCTAAGATATCACTATCAAAGTGAATGACACCAGATTCCTGGCCATTAAGAAATGTCAGCCATCTACAAATCAAGCAATTACTTTGACACACCTACAGAATGGCATTATGAGAAAGTGATTATCTATCCACCATGTAAATATTGTACAAAATACAGTTCCCATAGTGTTATTAATTCCATTTCTATATCACCCATAGCTGAAGCTCTCTGGGCGGTTTACAATCTAGTAATGAAACTCTTGGTTAGGTTAACTGTGTTGTAATACTGGCTGTACAGATAGAATTTTAGAACCATTCCTCGTTTCAGGAGGTCAAAATATATGAAGCTTGCTTAATAGTGGTTGTTGGTAATGCTGACAAAGGCACAGCTGAATGCAAAGCAAGGGTCTCTCCTGCACCCTTCCTGCCTTTTGCCAACTCAGAGGTCACCAGGTCTTCTAAAAGAATAGCCTGCTTACGTGGTACTCGTAAGTTCCCATCAACTTCAGGCTCATTAAGTGCAATTCCTGCCAATTTAGTTAAGGATTAAAGCTCAGTGCTGTCACACTTGTTAGAAATAACAGCCCTTAATTGAGTCACACATTCTTTCCAAGTGGAGCACATAGATTTGCCAAACTGATCGAGGCCACAGGGAGACAAGGACACAATTAGACCCAAAATACATAGCCCAATGATAGATTGATGGCACTCTTTGGAGGTTACAAAATCATACTATTCCAGCTTTCCCCAATATGGTGCCCTACAGATGCGCCTCAAATAAACTTCTGAACACCAACCAATATGTTGCAATTAAAACGTAGATGGTGAGATGTTTAATTTTGCTGTTCAGGGTTTCTTCTGAATATTACATTTGGTTGTTGCATCAAAGAACTGTCAACACCAATTGTGAAGTTATTTTACCCCTTTATTATCAAGCAAGATAGCTCAACTGAAGCATTCTTATTAGTGGGGTACATTTTGTAATTAAAACAACTTAGTGTCAGCTATACATAATCAAAAGTGACTCATCTGGAATGAAGAGTCAACCCTTTGAAGAATTTTTTGATTATGAAAGTGATTTCCAAAAACCTGTTTGCTGCATTGTTGGAGCAAGGTACATAAAGTAGAATCAGGAGCCGTAATCTCACAAACCGAACCCACTTCCCGGGTAATACCCCTATGTCCTTCTTTCTGGAATATATCTGATGTCTTGAAAAAGCCTTTTTGACATGATTCTTCATGTCCTGGCAGCTACAGGAAATTAGCAAGGATCCTTATACACTCTACTTATTCTCAACTGTATCTTCATTAAAGCCATGGGCTCTAACTTTAGGGACAGCCATCTATATGAAAACTAGGCTAGCTCAAAACCTAGTGCCTTGAACAGCTTACTCCAAATTCAGTGCTTTTAATTTAGCAGCACTGTTTCAAGGTACACATTAAACATGCCATGTCACTCCTAGATCTTCTAAAGTCTGAGATGTGCAACCTTACAAAGGACAGGAGCTCTAATTTTCAATTTACCCACACAACAGAATCCATAAACCCATGCAGATATCAAGAATAAAAGGAACAACTAAATAGGTGAAAAGAGGCGTTAAGGTTCATCCTTCACTGCACACTCACTATTTGCACATTGACATAATTTGTCACACATAGTCATTTAACCTACAGCTAAGTTGTTCTTAAAGGCATATACCATTAAAGAATAGAATTAGCTGCTAAAAGAAGTCATTTTCTTCAATCCACATGAAGTCCAGTTTAGTGGGCATGAACTTGGTAAAGTTGAGATTCTGCATTTAAAGAATTTAACATTTAAGATTCTAGGTGGAGGCTTTGTTGAGAGAGTCCACTGAGCTAGGCTCTAATTTCTCTGGCACTAGCATGCCAGTTTTTTAAGACATTTTATGTCAAGCATTCAGATGGGAGGTTTTCCTTTCTTTTAGGAGTTACTGGGCAATACTGAACAGTCCAGAATCAAACTTGCAACTGCTATTCATTTGCACTACTTCAGAGCAGTAAAACCACTAATCCAGCCAGTAGAAAACTTACTCAGTACTAGTGACTGTTGCAATTGAGGGCTTGAAGAAGTTTCTTATGGGAAGGAAAGGCCTCATCACCATTCCAGTCCAATCCTAACCTTATTTTATGTGAAAGGTAAATTCACTAAATTCAAAGGGCTTTACTCCCAAGTGTATAGTAGCCAATGATGCCTTGGGCTCAGAGCCTCTATGATTCCTCATATCCAATA